GCCTGGGTGTCGTAGGCCCGGGACGAGCCGAGCTCCGGTGCCTTACGGAGGATGTGGCTGGGAGGGCGGGACGGAAGGCCGGTCCACGCCTGCAGCGCCCGTCCCCCGCCCCAGGTGCGGCTGCTGAAGGGCCCGCCGCCCTTCGAGGACCCGCTGGGTTTTGATGGGCTGAGCCTGGCGCGGCACCTGGACGAGGACTCCCTGCCGTCGTCAGACGAGGAGCTGCTTGGCGTAGGCGTGGGCGCGGCCCTGCAGGACGCGTTGTATCCTCTATCCCCGCGCGATGCGCGTTTCTTCCGCCATCTGGAAAGGCCGGCCAAGGACAGCGAGGGCAGCTCAGACAGCGACCCCGATGAGCTGGCCGCGCCCTACAGCCAGGGCCTGGACAACTGAGGCCGTGCCCCGAGCACCCGGAGGCGGGAGGCTGCAGCCAGGGGGACACCTGGGCCATCCGCGTTCTGCCCCCAACCTGACGCACTTGACAAACTACGTGCCCTCTGTGGCTCAGCCATCCCTAAATCGAGGCCCGGCAAGGCAGCGCAGAGGGCAGGGTCTGGCCTGGGGCTCCTCAGGGCCCCAGGGCAGGCTCTCCCTCCTCAGCAGTGTTTACCTATCTTGGTCTGTACCCCTCCGGGCCCTCTGGCATTCTAGGGGTGCCTGGAGGGGCTGACTGCCCTCTTAACAGGAGGGCAGAGGGCCGGGGACAGAGGACCCAGAGGTCCCAGCACTGAATGAGCAGGCAGCTCCCACCTCCCAGCAGGCTTCCTTCTGGAATAGGGGTGGCACAACTGGGAAGCACCCAGGAGCTAGATGAGGCCTGAGGAAGGAGGGCACCAGCTCTGGGCTGGACATCAGCACCCCACGACACTCCTTGGGAGGAGGTGACCCTTGACTAGCCCCCGGCCGTCTCTAGGGGAATCAGGCTGCTGGGGACAGAAGGCCAGGCCGGCCTCTCCTGCCTGGTGCAGGCACCATGGCCCCTGAAGCAGAAACCAAAGTCCCCCCTACTGTGTGCTGGGCCGCCTGGGGAGTGGGTGGCCAGCGGGAAGTCTCCCTGCTTCTCTGGGGCCAGAGCAGCTGCAAGGAAGTGAAGAGACCCTTCTCCCCAGCACCCTAACTCTTCCTCTGGGAGACACTCGAGCCCCGTATCCTGGCCAGTGATGGAGGGGTATCTCTGTGGGGGTCCTTGACCTCCATCAGTAGTACTTCCCTTTCTTCCTGTGTCCCCAGCCCCACCCTCAGCCAGGGCCAGGCCCCTGGGCAGGACCTTCCCAGTGAAGCGGCCTCCCCTCACCTCCTCCTGGTGGTCCCGTGGTCTCTACTGAATCAGAGCTGAGAATGGTGCCAAAATCCAACGATGCCCCCCAGGCCCCTTCCTCTCTGCTCCCCACCCCCTGGGGTCTCGTGACCCTGGGGGCTGACCCCCTCGGTGCTCCTGGAGCCTCCAGTAGAGTAGCGTCACAAGCAATCTCCCTGGCGCTTCCTAGGGTGGGGACCCCTGCTCTGTCTCCCCTTCCTGGCCGCCCACTCTTCAGTGTTATGCAGCCTGGGGACTGGGGCAGGCACCCTCGGGGCTCTCCCACGCGTCTCCCACACTGCCCACCACCATTTTGCACACTGCCTGTTCACTCCACATGTCGCCCAGGCAGGAAAGATGGAAAATAAAGTGTATTTACAGAGTCACGGACTGGCCTGCGGGCTGGAAGGAGAATCACAAGCACCGGTGGGTCCCCAGCCCTGGGACCAGTCCAGAAAACTATGCTGAGGGAAGGCAAGGCTGTCCTTGCCCTCAGGAGCTCCCCACAGTCTCATAGAATGGGCGTGGGAGAGGACAGAAGGGCATTCAGTTTGGTGGCAGGGCCTGGTTTCCCACCTTGGTGAATCAACTTGGGCCTCTCCTGAAGGAGAGAGAGGCACGCCGAACTGCTGGGCTTCAGGAAGCACAGGACCCAGTTGCATGCATTCTGCTCACACTTCCAGGGGCGTCCTGGGGTGCTCTGCCCTGTGCCTGGCTCTGAGGGGGTCTCTAGTAGAGCAGAGGAGACAGGCACTGGGCAGGGGGGAGCTTGCATTAATGTGGTAAGTGCTCAATAGACAAATGTGCAGGGAGATCAGGGAAGGCTTCCTGGAGGAGGTGGTGTCAGGACCTCTTCCAGGGGAAAAAAGCATGAAGATCAAACCAGCAGGAGGCATACGGTTCCCAGGAAGGAGGAACAGGAAAGCCTGGGTATGCAAGATCAAGAAGGGACTGCTCACATCAGGAGAGGGATTTTGGGCTTTGGACTGTGGGGTATGGGGAGCCCATGGAGGGCTTAGGTGAGAGGGCCCCATCAGATGGACCACAGAGTCTGTGAGGGAGGCTAGTGCAGGGAGGACAGTGAGTGGGGGACAGAAAGAGAGTCCTTTGTAGGGTTCCCCACAGAGCTGCGGCAGAGTCCCAGCTGTTGGGCAGCAGTGATAGGGAGGGGGCGGAGGACAGAGCCAGGCCAGGAGTGGCAAGGCAAAGCTTCCTAGAGGCAGAAACTTTTTTTTTTTTTGAGATGTAGTCTCTGTCGCCCAGGCTGGAGTGCAGTGGCATGACCTCAGTTCACTGCAACCTTCATCTCCCGGGTTCCAGTGATTTTCCTCCCGCAGCCTCCAGAGTAGTTGGAAGTACAGGCACCTGTGACCATACCTGGCTAATTTTTTTTTTTTTAGTAGAGATGGGGTTTCACCATGTTGGCCAGGCTGGTCTCAAACTCCTGACCACAGGTGATCCACCCACCTCAGCCTCCCAAAGTGCCAGGATTACAGCCATGAGCCACCCAGCTTGGCCCCTAGAGGCAGAAGCTTAATTGGGTTCAGGTAGATGCCAGCCAGGGCCTGCCCTCTGTACCCAGTGTGGGTCCACAAAGTACCCCTGCCCCCATGCCAAGTGCCCCATGCCCCCATGACAGCCAAGCAGAGGACATGACCCTGGTTGTCCCATGCACTGTCCTATCATGTGACAGCTCTCCTGGCCACACACATGGTACAGATGTAACCCTGAGACCCTGACAGTCACTGTCCATGCCTCCTGCTCCCACAGTAATTCCACCCCTGCTGGCTCCCCAGCTTGGGGCAGGACCCCAGAGGTACAGTCTGAGGTTCTTCCCTGTCCTTCCTGGCAGCTGGCTTTGAGCCCCTGGATGCCCAGCATTTCAGGAGTCAGCCTTGGGCTTGTTCCAGAGTCTGGAAACAAGGACACCCAGGTCCCCACCCCCACCAGGGCCCAGCTTGAGAGGACCCCTCTATGATTTGCCACAAAACTCTGAATTTGACCTAGGGACTGTGCTGGCATACTCCTCTAGCTCCCAAGGGTGCAGGTGGCAGCACCCCTCCAGGCCAGAGCCCATTTCTCCTCATCCCCATCTCTGGGATGGGGACAGACAGAGCTTGCTGGTCTGTGACTGACAGGAACCGGGCCATAGGAGGGCATAAGGGTACTGGGTCCAGGGGCAGAGGCAGAGCTGAGGGTGCAATGCCAGATCCCACTGTCTTCTTACCCACCTGGGGATGTGCTATCATTCTTCGTGCCATGCAGGAGACTCAGTGGTGGTGGTGGTGTGGGGGGGGGAGCGGAGCCTAACAGGGGAGGTCTTTATAGGGGCAGTTGGGAACAGGGAGAGACCAGGCTCTGGTTAAGAGGCTCCAGGGTCAAGGTGACTGAGATGGGGGGTAGAGTTGGGGTTAGTTGGGGGAGGAAGGATAGGAAACTGATTAGAAGGGGCCCGTGAAGACGTTTGGGAATCTGATAATGCCTGAGGAAGGCAACAGGGAAAGGATGCCTGTGGGGGTGGGATGCCCCACGTGGCACTTGAAGGACACCTGGAGAGAAGGTACAGTGTGAGGACTACCCCATCTCCCACCCAGCCCTGGGAGAGGCCACTTTGTCCTGCAATCCCCTACCAGAGCAGTTGTCCCGGGACCCTACACCCACCGAGGAGCCATGGGAAGGGGCCCGTGTCCTTGCCTCAGTGCCCTCGGAGCCTCCCACCTGTTACCCTGGAGTGCCAGTTCTCTGCATCGAGTTTGAAAAGTGTTCCAGGCCAGGTGTGGTGGCTCACACCTATAATTCCAGCACTTTGGGAGGCTGAGGCCAGCAGATCACCTGAGGTCAGGAGTTTGAGACCAGCCTGGCCAACACGGTGAAACCGTATCTCTACCAAAAATACCAAAGTTAGCCGGCTACTCGGGAGGCTGAGGCAAGAGAATCACTTGAACCTGGAAGGTGGTGGTTGCAGTGAGCCAAGATTTCACCATTGCACTCCAGCCTGGGCCAAAAGAGCAAAACTTCCTCTCAAAAGAATAACAAATAGGCCGAGCATGGTGGCTCACACCTCTAATCCCAGCACTTTGGGAGGCCAAGGTGGGCAGATTACGAGGCCAAGAAATCGAGACCATCTTGGCCAACATGGTGAAACCCATTATCTACTAAAAATACAAAAATTAGCTGGGCATGGTGGCACGTGCGTCCCAGCCACTTGGGAGAATGAGGCAGGAGAATCACTTGACAAGGGAGGCAAAGGTTGCAGTGAACTGAGATCGCGCCATTGCACTTCAGCCTGGTGACAGAGCAAGACTCAGTCTCAAAAACAAAATAAAATAAAATAATAAATAAATAAATATAGAAAAGTGTTCCAGTCGCTCCTTCACCTCGGCCACACACTGGCTCATCTACTTCGGCGCACAGTCCCAGCCAGGCCCCTCCTGTGCCAAACGTTTCCACCGGAAGTCGGACGTCAAGAAGCCCAAGTTCACGCACGCGGTTGGGTGCACCACACCAGATGGCTTGGACTCCACAGGGACCCGCCGTAGCCCCACCTGGCCTGCCCCTTCTCTCTCACAAGAGGAAAACTGCTCTTGATCCAGAGCTCCAGCGGGTTCTCGCATAGACCTCAGTAAGGCCTTACCTGGCCTGGTCCCCCGCGCCGCTCAACCCCTGGAGGCCCCCAACCCCGGCCCTCGAAGCAACAGAGGTGTGCAGGCCCTGATGTCCCAGTTTTATTGCAAACTCAGGCTGTGCGGGGTGGGCAATACACTGGACACGGGGCGGGGCTCGGGGGAAGGGGGTGTGTCCTAGACCAAAGGGGCGGAGCTCGAGGGGAGGGTCTGGGTCAAAGCTGTGGGTAGGTCTCGAGCCTCCGAGGCCAAACGCAGGAGTGGAGCCTGGGCCGAAAGACTCAGGCTCTAGGGAGCTGAGACCGATCCACCGAGCGTTTCTCCAGGGCAGTGCAGGCGGGGTCTAAGACAAACAGGCGTACCTGGAGGAGCAGATCCTAAGGCAGGGGTGGGATGTAGCAGGCGGGGCTGTGGCTCAGTGGAAGGTCTCCACCTCCACCACGGTCCAGTCACCCTGCGGGGAGGCCACATCGTCCGGAGAGAAGCTTGTGACCGAGGTGATGCTGGCACGAGACTCGTCCAGGGGAGACAGCAGTTCTGCCCAGCGGCCGAGTTCCGCGTCGCTGAGTGCAGCTCGGGCGCCCCCCGTGACGCCACCACCACCCGCGCCTCCTGGGCCCCCGCCGCTGCCGCCAGCGGCACCCTCGGTCGCAGCCAGAAGCAGCGTCCGGCTCAGCAGGTGCTGCACGACGCTCGCCTGCAGCGCCCCCAGTGGCAGCTCGCCCAGGCGCGCCTGCTTCGGGCTCCGGGAGGACGCCGCCGCCTCGGCCCCTGCCGCCGCCTTCCCACTGCCCGCGCTGGGCCCGGGCCCGGGCCCCGGATCCAGGGCGCCTGGGGCGGGGGTCGCCGACTCAGGCCCTTCAGTCTCGTAGATGGTGCACAGACCCTCAGCAGAGCCTGGTCCGGCAGCGGGAGGCCACGGCAGCTGCGCACCTGCGGGGAGAGATGCCAGGTGGGCCGTGGGGGTGATAAACCACGCCCCCGTCCCAAGGACACGCCCCCTTGCCTAAGCTCCGCCCCGGACCCACCTGTCCCGACCACGAGCTGCGAAGCCCCGCCTCCAACCCCACCCACAGCCAGGCCAGGTCTGAGGTGCCTCTTACCTGGGGCTCCGCGTAGCGCCAGCGGTGGAGCGGGGCCTCGGCTCCAGGAGGCCGGATGGCAGGCGGCGAGCTCTGCGTCGGGGGGCGGGGAGGCTGCGGCACCGCCTTCGGGCCCGCTGTCGTAGCCACGCAGCTCCTCCGGAGTGCTCGTGGCGCTGCTGCTGTGACCGGCAAGGTCCGGGCCGCTCAGCGTGCTGGACGGGCTGCGCGAGGGAGGCGGCGGCGGGCCAGGGGCCAGCGCCAGGGTCAGCCGTGGACCCGAGACAGAGGTATCTGGACCCGGGGTTGGGGGACGGCGTGGAGCCTGCAAGGTAGGTGAGGCAGGCGGAGAGGGAGGGACCTGCAGGAGGGGCGCGGCTAGAGTGGGTGGGGCCTGTGGAGGAGGCGTGGCCAAAGGAGACATCGGGGGTGAGGCGGAGGAAGAGAAAGGGGCCTGCCCAGGGAGTGAGGTAAGGGGAGAGGGAGGAGCCTGCAGAGGAGACGAAGCCAAAACAGACATTGGAGGTGAGGCAGGGGGAGAGGGTAGGATCTGCAGAGGAGGTGCGGCCAGAGTGGGTAGGGCCTGTCGAGGGGGCGTGGCCAAAGGAGACATTGCGGGAGACACAGGGGGAGAGGGTGGGGCCTGCAGAGGTACGGCCAGAGGGGGTGGGGTTTGTGGAGGGGGCATGGCCGAAGGAGACACTGTGGGTGAGACAGGGAGAGAGGAAGGGGCCTGCAGAAGGAACGTGGCCAGAGAAGTTGGGACCTGTGGAGAGGGTGTGGCCAAGGGAGACAGAGGAGGTGAAGCAGGGGGAGAGGGAGAGGTCTGCAGAGGAGGCAAGGCCAGGGCAGGTGGGGCCTGTGGAGGGGGCGTGGCCAAAGGGGACAGAGGGGGAGAGGGCAGGCCCTCCAAAGGGGGTGAGACTAGAGCAGGTGGGGCTTGTGGAGGAGGCGGGGCTACGGAAGATGGGGTCTCCGGAGGGGGCGTGGTCAATGGGGAAAGTGTTGCTTGCAGAGCTGGACAAGGTGGAGTCTCCAGATGGAGTGTGGACAGGGAAGAAGAAGCTGTCTGCAGAGAGGGCGGGGCTAGAGAAGGTGGGTTCTCCAGTGGTGGCGTGGTCAGGGAAGCAGGAGGTGCCTGCAGAGATGGCAGGGCTAGGGAAGATTGGGTCTCCATAATGGGCGTGATCAGGGAAGAGGGAGGTGCCTGAGGAGGGTGGGAGGCCAGAGAAGATGGAGCCTGCAGAGGGGGTGAAGCAGGAAGAGTAGAGGCCAGCCGAGGAGGCGAAGTCAAAGAAGATTGTGTTTGACTAGGGGATATCATCAGGAAAGGTGTGGCCTGCAGACGGGGTGAGCCTAAAGAAGTTGTGGCCTGCAGAGAGGACAAACCTGGAGAGGAAGGTGCCTGCAGAGACGGTGAGGTCAGCGAATGTGGAACCTGTATTGGGTGAATGGTCTGGAGAGAGGGCGGAGCCTGCATAGGGGGCGTGGTCAGAGACGGTGGGGCCTGTGGGTGGGGCGGAGCCAGGGGTGAGGGCGGGGACGGCAGAGGCAGTGGGGCCAAAAGAGAGGGAGAAACTAGAGGAGGATCCTGCAGAGAGACTGTGGTCAGAGGAGAGGAAGAGGCCTGCAGAGGCAATGTGGCCAGAAGTGGAGAGTTCTGCGGAGGAAGAGTGGCCAGAGTGTGGGGCGTGGCCTGGGGAAGGTGGGGGGATGAGGAAGGACTGGCCTGCGGAGAGGGCGTGGTCAGAGCAGAAAGGCCTGGACGAGAGGTTGTGGCCAGGATAGAGGCCGGATTCCCCAGAGATGTTGCTGGAGAAACAGGGCCTTGTAGAGGAGAGATGGCTAACAGAGGAGGTGTGCCCAAGGGAGAGAGGAGAATCGGAAGAGAGGGCAACGCCGGATTAGCCTGGGTGGGGAGCATACTCTGCAGAGGGGATGAAACTGACGGAGAGAATGGAGCCACAAACGCGGCTGTGGCCAGGGGAGACACGCCTGCTTCTGGAAAGGATGTAACCGGCTTTGTGGGTGGAGCTTGCGAGGGGGGCGTGGCTGGTGGAGAGGGGAGGGTCTGTAGAGAGGGTGGAGCAGATGGAGAAGGAGGGGCTAGAGGAAGGGGCGTGGCCAGCGGATAGGTAAGGTTCTGCGGATGGGACGTGGCCGGCGGGGTGGGCAGGGCCTGACTTTGGAGCGCGGCTGGCGGAGGGGGAGTGACCGGTGGAGAGGGAGGGAACGTCGCTGGCAGGGGAGTGGCTGCGTTGCAGGGAGGTGGTATGGGTCTCGCTTTGGTACCCAGTGGAGAGGGTGTGGCCAAATGAGAGGAAGAACAAGGGCCCAGTGCTGGGGCTGAGTCCTTCTTTGAGGGCGTGGCCTGCGGGTGACGTGGGGCCTGGACCCCCTTCGACTTGGGCTGCGAGGGATGCGCAGGAGCCCTGGGTGTTCCGCGGGCTGAGGGCCCAGAACGGGCTGGGGAGGAGAGAGGGGTGGTGCTGGAGCTCAGGGGGTGCGAGGCCGGCCTCTGGAGACCCCCACCGGCGCTGGGCCGCCTCCTGGCAGCCGGGCTTGGCTCGGTGGTGCTGTGCTCTGAGGCGCTGCTCACTGATTTCCGGGGGCCCTCTATTGAGGGCCGCGGCCGGGCACTCGGAGCTGGCCGGGGGAGCCCCACCTCGGTGCCCGCAGCCCGGGACCGACGGGCCATGGCCGGGGAGGGGGTTCCTGGGGTAGGCCCAGAAGTGTCTGGAGAAAAAGTAGAAGACCAAGGGTCACCGATACCTCTGAGCCGGTCCCCCTCGCTGCCAGGGACCCCACTCCTCTCCAGGTCACGTACCTCTCCGTGCCCCAGCGCTCAGGGCACTCCTTTTGGAAGCCTCCGTAGCTTTTCCTCTGGCCACAGTTTCCTCCGCTGGGGTCCGGAGTCCCTTCTGGCCGAGAGGGCCTGGCCTGGAGACAGAAGGGGCCACACTCAGGGTACAGCCCTAGGTCCTTGTTTGGCTTCCCAAGCCTCTATTTTCCCATCTGTGAAATGGGCATGCGTCCTCTCTGAGGACCAATAATGGCTTTCACCCAATTTGTGCCCAGTGACCTGGACACAAGTGCTCCCATGCCCCAACTTGTGTAAAGTAAAAGGTTCCAGACTCTGTGATGCTAACCCTGGCTTAGGGGACTGGGGGAGAGGGAGCACATTACCTGGTGGTCCCACTGACGCGCCCTAGGCTGGAAACAGGACCTGGGCTGGTGTTCTTGGCAGGAGGAACACGCTCGCCTCTCCCAGGGGCTGGGGGTCTGGAGGCTGCGGGGAGAAGGCCGAGTCAAAGGTGCCCCAGAGAGGTGGTGGTGGAGGGGGGACGGGGCAGGTAGGAGCAATGGGGAGGGAAGATGGGGTCAGAGCTGAGGAAGGAGGCTGGTGTACCTGGGTTCCGAGAACTTGTCCCAGCACTCCGAGTTGGTCCTGCCCTGAGAGCAGACTCGGGAAGAGTGGCCCCGCCGGTACCCCCAGCTCGCTCTGCCAGACGCCTTCGCCCCGCAGCTTCCGCAGCTCCCAGAACTCGGAGGGCTGCGGGGGTTACTGGAGGAGGGGGTCGAGGAGAGCCTGGAGGCCTGGGGGTCGGAAGTCCAGGAAGGCGAGCAGCTGGTGTCCGCGTGGCGCCCCCTGCCTTCACCTTGTTCCTCTTGTCCATCTTGCACCTGAAGAGACAAACCGGTCCTCATCCCAGGTTCTGGACAGCAGTGCCGCCTCCAGACGCCTGGACCCTGGCACCTCGATGCCCTTTCCCGGCATCGCCAACCATGGACACCCAAACCTCGGCCCCAGCTTCTATCCGCTCAGCTCCCACGCACCCACACCCACTCGCCAGCCCCGCTGCTTTTCGCTGTCCCCAAGTCCCAACCCCCACCACTTTTCCCCAAAGCAGAGAGGCCCTGCCCGCCCCAGCCCGCCGCCTTCCCCGCCTCGACTCCAATTCAGGACCGACCTCCACACTCCTACCCCTCGCCCCCTCAGGGATCCATACCGCCAGCCTCTAGAGCAGGGGACTACCACAAGCTCCAGATGCGGGAGACCGAAGTGCACGCCCGGGTCTCCCCGCCACCCTCCAGCGGCCTCCCCCGGCCTTCCCGAGGGATGCCTGCACCTGCCGGGAGGCGGAGCGGCCCCGCAGCCCGCGAACGGGCTCCGGGAGACAAAGAGCTGCGTCCGGGCCCGACCCCTCCCCCAGCCGGGCCTGGCCTGCGCCCGGCCTCTCCACCTGCTCACGTCGCGCTCACCTCCGGCTCCGGCCTCCCGCCGCTCCTCGCAGGATCGCCTGGGGTGGGGCCCGGGCCGGAGCGATGCTGCGGCCGCCAGCGGCGAGGAGGCGAGGCGAGGGGAGGGGGCTGCAGGCGGCGGCGCCGGGGGAGCCGAGCCGGTCCCGCCCCTCGGGCGCGGGCGGGGGAACCGGGGGCGCGCGCTCGATCCGGACCCGGGAGCGCGGCCGGCGGAAGCGCGCCGAGGGGGATGGGGGAGAAGCGCGCGCTGGAGAGAGGGACGGCTTCTCTGCGGTCCGGGAGAAGCCTGTTTCCCCAGCTGCGCCTGAGGACCCCAGAGAGCCAACGATTGAAACTGGGAGCAAATTCCTGGGGTCCTCCACTGTCCTCCCCAACATATACACCTGCCCCGACCCACACCACAACCACCTGGCGACCAACGACCGTCTGGAGGCGGATAGGCTGGGCCCTGGCAACCAGGAGGCGGTACCACCGCACCGCTGGCCCACCGACCAATCCGGCCGCTCAGTGGCCCTGGCCCTGTCCTGTCCTGTCCTTCGCGTCTTCGAAAGCCAGGCTGCCCAGGGTCTCTGGAGGGCAGCTGCTCCCCTAGCACCCAAACCCCTTATCTGGTTGGGGGTTCCGGGGACTGCTAGGAGAATGCTGCCCTGGGAATTTCAGGGATGCAAGGTAGACCCCAGACTTTGGGGAAGAGAGAAAGGAAAGAGGACTAGGAGGGAGAGCGACGGGAGACACAGAATCTAGTGAGAGGTGACCCAGGCGTCTTGCAGGGTAGAGCACCCCCACCCTCCACACCCTCCCAGCTCAAGGGAGGTCAAGTCAGCAGAGGCTTCCTGGTAGAGCTGGGCTTCTGGAGAACAACGTTATGTCGACCTGGGAGGTGTGAAAACAAGTATGTAAGGCCAGTGCAGTGGGTCACGCCTGGAATCCCATCACTTTGGGAGGCTGAGGCGGGTGGATCATTGACTTAAAAGTTCCAGGCCAGCCCGGCCAACATGGTGAAACCCCATCTCTACCAAAAAAATACAAAAATTAGCCGGGCGTGCTGGGGAGCGCCTGTAATCCCAGCTACTTGGGAGGCTAAGGCAGGAGAATCACTTGAACCCGGGAGGTGGGGGTTGTAGTGAGCCAACATCGTGCCATTGCACTCCAGCCTAGGTGGCAGAGTGAGACTGTCTCAAAAAAAAAAAAAAAAAAAAAAAAAAAAAAAAGTTCATGAAGGGCAGAGAATATCCTATACAAGTGTCCCAGCCCAGCCAGAGCAAGTGGGAGGTGTCTTGTGGTGACTTCAGCCAGAGCAGGGGACTCCGCTGGGCAGCTGTGCACCAGGACTGTGGCATGAAGAGGGTGGGAGCCTGAAGGTGGAGATGGACATTCCTCAGCTCCCTCTCCATATAAGGAGAGTCTGGCCTTGTCACCTCTGTCGCCCAAGTCCCCTCCTCATATGGCCTCCATGAGCTTTCCACCTGGATGTCTCAGCCCTTCAGGCTCACAGCCACTCCTTACCCTATTCCAGAAAACCATCGCCCTCTGCCCCATCGACACCCCACTGAAAGCTCATATGCACAGCCCACTCCCTCCTGAACCTCAGGGGGCCTCCATGCACAGAAAACAGATAATGCAACTTGGCATTGGGTGAACTGGGGTGGGGTGGGGGAAATTGTGCCCATTTGAGGTTGCAGAAATGGAGGGTAGAGAAAAATGGCAGAACCGGATGTCCTGCTTTGGCCTCTGGATTGGATCATTCTAGGCCTTATCTTCTCCCTCAGTTTACCAATGATCACCAGTGTGAACCCCTTGTGGCATGACACCAGTCTGGTTCCCTGTCTACCCACCCACACCCACTGCCTCCTCCCAAGTCACATCCACCTACACGGATCCCTGTCCTCCTATTTATTTTTTTTATGTAGAGACCAGGTCTCTCTCTGTCACCCAGGCTGGAGTGCAGTGGCATGATCTTGGCTCACTGCAACCTCTGCCTCCCAGCTTCAAGTGATCCTCCTGCCTCAGCCTCTTGAGTAGCCAGAACTACAGGTGCTTGCCAGCACACCCAGCTAATTTTTGTATATTTAGTAGAGACGGGGTTTCACCATGTTGGCCAGACTGGTCTCAAACTCCTGACCTCGTGATCTGCCCACCTCGGCCTCCCAAAGTGCTGGGATTACAGGCATGAGCCACAGCACCTGGCCTGTTTATTTTTGAGACAGGATCTCACTCTGTCACCCAGGCTGGGGTGCAGTGACACTATCATCACAGCTTCACAGCTCACTGCAGCCTCGAACTCCGAGGCTCCAATGATCCTCCCACCTCAGCTTCCCAAGTAACTGAGACTATTTGGGAGGCTGATGCAGCTGGATCACTTGAGGACAAGAGTTCCAGACCAGCCTAGCCAACATGCTGAAACTTCATCTCTACTAAAAATACAAAAAAATTAGCTGGGTGTGGTGGCACATGCCTGTAGTCCCAGCTACTCAGGAGACTGAGGCACTTGAACCCAGGAGGCAGAGGTTGCAGTGAGTCAAGATCATACCACTGCACTCCAGCCTGCATGACAGACCAAGACTCCTTCTCAAAACCAAAACAAAACAGGCTGGATGCAGTGGCTCACGCCTGTAATCCCAGCACTGTGGGAGGCTGAGGCAGGCGGATCATGAGGTCGAGAGTTTGAGACCAGCCTGGCCAACGTGGTGAAAGCCCATCTTTACTAAAAATACAAAAATTAGCCAGGCATGGTGGTGTGCACGTGTAATCCCAGGTACTCGGGAGGCCGAGGCAGGAGAATCGCTTGAACCCGGGAGGCAGAGGTTGCAGTGAACTGAGATTGCACCACTGCACTCCAGTCTGGGTGACAGAGCAAGACTCCATCTCAAAAGGAAACAAACAAACAACAACAAAAAAAACCCAAGTAGCTGGGACTAAAGGCTACCCCATCATGCCAGGCTGTTTTTGTTATTTTTTTCATCTTCCTTCCTGCCCCCTTACCAAGCTAAGTTTTAAATTTTTTGTAGAAAAACAGGGTTTCACTATGTTGCTCAGCCTGGTCTCGAACACCTGGGCTCAAGTAACACTTCCACCTCAGCCTCCCAAAGTGCTGGAATTACAGACAGGAGCCACCTCACTCAGCCTCTCCTGTCTTCTGACTGTGATGCAAGGGTTCCTCCAGGGTACACAAAACCCACCCTGTAATTAATTGGGATCTGGACTCTGCCCTCTTATAAAAACACTCCCAAAACCTCCATCCACAGAGGGATGAGTAACATGAATCAGTGTCCCCTACAATGGAATGAAACTTGGCAATAGAAAGGAACAGACTACAGCTATGCTCAAAACAGGGACTAATCTCAAAAGCACGCCAAACAAAAGAAGCCACAAAAAGCACACACTGTATGATTCCATTTATAGAACATTCTAGAAAACACAAGCTAATCTGTAGTGACAGACAGCGCATCAGTGGTTGCTTGGAACAGGCTGGGAGGGATGCTGGACGAACTACCCAGCATAGCCACTGGCTCAGGTGAGGGCCAGGCGACTGTAGTCCCAGCTACTGGGGAGGCTAAGATGGGAGAATCCTCTTGAGCCCAGGAGTTTGAGGCCGGCCAGGGAAACATAAGGAGACCCTATCTGTAAAAGAAAAATAAATAAAAAACAAATACATACATATTTTTAAAGTGTGAGTTTTTTTGTTTGAGACAGAGTCTTGCTGTGTTGCCCAGGCTGGAGTGCAATGATTCAATCTCAGCTCACTGCAACCTCCACCACCCAGGTTCAAGCAATTCTCCTGCCTCAGCCTCCGAAGTAGCTGGGATTACAGACATGTGCCACCATGCCCAGCTAATTTTGTATTTTTAGTAGAGATGGGGTTTTGCCATGTTGGCCAGGCCAGTTTCGAACTCCTGGCCTCAAGTGATCCACCCACCTTGGCCTCCCAAAGTGCTGGGATTACGGTTGTGAGCCACTGGCAGGGATAATACATACTTTGTTTAAACTAGTAAATTTGGGGGTAATTTGTTACAAAGTAATAGTTAACTCACATTCTAAAATCTTAGAAGCTGGGTAGTAAAGACCAAGTACTGAAGCCGGGCATGGTGTCATAATCCCAACACCTTGGGAGGCTGAGGAAGGCAGGTGAATCACCTGAGTTCAGGAGTTAGACACCAGCCTGGCCAATGTGATAAAATCCCATCTCTACTAAAAATACAAAAATTAGCCGGGTATGGTGGCCAGTGCCTGTAATCCCAGCTACTCCAGGAGGCTGAGATAGGAGACTCGCTTGAACCCAGGAGGCGGAGGTTGTAGTAAGCCCAGATCGTGCCATTGCACTCCAGCCTGGGAGGGACTCTATCTCAAAAAATAAAATAAAATAAAATAAAGAAGACAGGAAGAATCACTCCAAAGGAGAGACAGTCTTTCTCAAAGGTCCCTTCCTTAAAGAGGTCTTCAAGGAAACCCTCATCCCCTGCTACCCCTTCACCTTGTTTTCTTATATACACAACAGTTGTCACAAACTGACAATACCTTGTTCCTTCTTTTTTTTTTTTTTAGACGGAGTTTCTTGTTGCCCAGGTTGGAGTGCAATGGCTCAATCTTGGCTCACCACAACCTCTGCCTCCCGGGTTCAAGCAATTTTCCTGCCTCAGCCTCCCCAGTAGCTGGGATTACGGGAGTGTGCCACTAATTAGATCCAGCTAATTTTGTATTTTTAGTACAGATGGGGTTTCTCCATGCTGGTCAGGCTGGTCTCAAACTCCCTACCTCGGGTGATCTGCCCACCTCAGCCTCCCCAAGTGCTATGATTACAGGTGAGAGTCACCTCGCCCAGCCTTGTTTGTTTGTTTTTAAGAGCTGTGTTAGGCTGGGTGTGGTGGCTCACACCTGTAATCTCAGCACTTGGGGAGGCAGAGGCAGGTAGATCATCTGAGGTTGGGAGCTTGAGACCAGCCTGACCAGGATGGAGAAACCCTATCTGTACTAAAAATACAAAATTAGCCGGGCATGGTGGTGCGTGCCTGTTATCCCAGCTACTTGGGAGGATGAGGCAGGAGAATCACTTGAACCTGGGAGGCGGAGTTTGCAGTGAACTGAGATAGTGCCTCTGGCACTCCAGCCTGGGCAAAAAGAGCAAGACTCCATCTCAAAAAAAAGAAAGAAAAAGAAAAAAGAAAAAAGGCTGAGTGCAGTGGCTCACGCCTGTAATCCCAGCACTTTGGGAGGCTGAGACAGGAAGATCACGAGATCAGGAGTTTGAGACCAGCCTGACCAATATGATGAAACCCCATCTCTACTAAAAATACAAAAATTAGCTGGGGGTGGTGGCAGGCACCTGTAATCACAGCTACTCAGGAGGCTGAGGCAGGAGAATCACTAGAACCCAGGAGGCGGAGGTGGTGGTGAGCCAAGATTGTGCTACTGCACTCCAGCCTGGGTAACAGAGCAAGACTTTGTCTAAAATAAGGAGCCAGTTCTGTGTGGCCACCCAGGCTGGAGTGCAGTGGTGCAATCATGGCTCACTGTAGCCCCCCGCTCCTAGGCTCAAGCAATCCTCCTGTCTCAGCCTCTCGAGTAGCTGGGAATACAGGTGCACACCCCCCACACCTGGCTCATTTTTATCCACTTATTTATTTATTTTTGAGATGGAGTCTCACTCTGTTGTCCAGGCTGGAGTGAAGTGGCGCCATCTCAGCTCACTGTAATCTCTGCCTCCCGGGTTCAATCAATTATCCTAGCTCAGCCTCCCAAGTCACTGGGATTACAGATATGTGCCACTATGCCCAACTAATTTTTCTATTATTTTTATTTATTTGTAGAGATGGGATCTTACTTTGTTGCTCAGGCTGATCTCAAACTCCTGGGCTCAAGTGATCCACCCACCTCGGCCAGCCTCCCAAATTGCTGGGATTAAAGGTATGAACCATCTCACCTGGTGTCCTTCATTTGTGTACAAGCTTAGTGTCTCTCTCTTAGGACCGAAGCACTCACAGAGTTGGGAGCCCTGCTCATCTTGTTCTGCAAGGAAGCTTCAGGTGCTTACAGACAACAGGTGCTCTTAAAGAGCTACTAAATGTGCAAGGAACGTTTGTCTTTGGACTCCCTGTGGTGGTGCCAGAGGATCCCTGACGTACGAGTTTCCAACCCTAGAAGGTTCGGGTCTCATGCTGTCTGAGACCTGGTCAATGTCAGGACTTCTTTTACCCTCTCAGGGATGACTTTCCCTCTCCCACCCTAAGTCCAGGTAGGAACATTTCTGTGGATGGTTTTTGTTTTGTTTTGTTCTGTTTTGAGATGTAGTCTCGTTCTGTCACCCAGGCTGGAGGGTGGTGTTTCGATCTTGGCTGACTGCAACCTCCGCCTCCCATGTTCAAGCGATTCTCCTGTGTCAGCTTCCCAAGTAGCTGGGATTACAGGCTCGAGTCACCACGCCCAGCTAATTTTTTATTTTTAGTAGAGACAGGGTTTCACCATGTTGACTAGGCTGGTCTCAGGTGATCTGCTCACCTTGGCCTCCCAAAGCGCCGGGATTACAGGTGTGAGCCACCATGCCCAGTCCAACTCTTCAGCACCCGGTATTCCTACACTGTCTCCCATCCAAGTACTAACCAGGTCTGACCCTGCTTAGCTTCCAAGATCAGACAAGATCAGGTACTTTCAGGGTGTTATGGCCATAGACATAGACATATCTATGGTGTTTCAGACCGAGAGCCAATCAAGGTCCAACTCCACAGGTTTGCTCATCTAAGACTCAGCTCAGGCCTCCCTAGGTGGGGTGGCCAGGGTGGGGGTGGGGAGGCAGGGAAGCTGGCCTCCGAGAGCCCTCTAGCTACTGTGGTCCCCCACCCACCACCTGGAGGGCAGGTCACAAGGTCAGACAGGTGGGCATCCCCACTCTAGTCAAATTCCATTGGTTCAGCCCAGTTCCTGCCCCGTGGCCCGAGCTCCAGGGGAGAAGCCCTCCCCTCCCCTCCCCTCTCTTCCCCCAATTCCACTCCCAGCACCTGAAGACTCAAGTCACCTGTGCCTTGATTGGGCTTTAAGGCCAGGTGACTGGGCCTTGGGGAGCTGGAGGAAGCCTTTCCACACTTTTTTTTTTCTTTTTTGAAACAGGGTTTTGCTTGGTCACCCAGGCTGGAAAGAAGCGGCACGATCATAGCTCGATGCAGCCTCTCAACTTCCCAGATTCAGGTGATCCTCCCACCTCAGCCTCCAGAGTAGCTGAAACTATAGGCACACACCACCACACCTGGCTAATTTTTAAATTTTTGTTTTTGTAGGTTTTAAAGTTTTTGGTAGAGCTACGGTCCCACTATATTGTTGAGGCTGGTTTCAGACTCCTGGGCCCAAGATATCCTTCTGCCTCGGCCTCCCAAACTGTTGGGATTACAGGCATGACTCACAGAGTCGGACCTCCACTCTTTCTTGACAAGGTCTGTAAGACCAGGTTCCCAGAAGGGTGGTGGTAGAACGGCTTTGGGAGTTGAGGGTCTCCAGCTTTCTCAGTTTCCCCTGCTGCCAGGGTCCAGGCGGACTGCAGAGTTGCAAAGTTCTAAGACCCCCGCATCTCCCGCCAGCGCCGAGCCCACCAGGGTAAAGTAGGATACGACCACTCTCTTCCCTCAACCCCGGAGATCGCGCGGCGCCTGGAGCGAGGTCGACCTGGACGCGCCTGCCGCGAGGCGGGGCCGAGTCGTCCCGGGGCGGGGCGGGACCCGGCGGCTCCCGGGCTGCTGTCCCCGCCTGCCCTGACTCACCCTCGCGGCCCGCCCGGGAACTCTGCGGGAGACCCGGCTGCTCCGCTTTGCCGCTTTCAGGAACCCAGGAGTTGGGCCCAGCGTCCCTCCCGGAACGGTGAGTAGGTGGCTCTTTGCCTCTGAGCACCCCGAGGTGGCGGGGTGGGAGTCGGCCTGGGAGTCCCAGGGCAGAGCCGCTCCAGGTGCGCTGGCCCTGTGGCCTGGGGCGGGCCGCCCGGACACACCAGGAGTGAGTGGGGGTGCGGGCGCAGGCAAAGGGAAACCTGACCCATGAGGTGCCGGTCCTGGGAGCCAGGCAGGCCTGGCCAACGTCTCAAGATGAAGATCAACAGGCTGGACTTGACTTTGGGGGTCTCAACCACTTTCCCTTCCTCTTGGCATTTGGGAAGACATTGACAACTCATCCCCGGGAGCTCCTCAGAGCCCCGGTACCTACCACTTGGGGTGGGTTTAACCAAGCCTGACCTCTGGTGCTCTTGAATTTATAGATGTCCCAGACCTTCACGTCTGTCAGCAGAGGCAGCTTGGAAAAGACCCAGCTGGGAGTCCACAGGCCTGGAGCCTGGCCCAGGATGGGCTACAAAGATGCCACCCTCCCCCACTCTAGACCCTCAGTTTCTCCTTTGTATAAAAGGTTGAGGCTCAGCTGGAGACCGTGGCTTAGGCCTGTAATCCCAGCACTTTGGGAGGCCAAGGTGGGCGGGTCACCTGAGGTCAGGTGTTGGAGACCAGCCTGGCCAACATGGTATAACCCCGTCTCTACTAAAAATACATCAATTCGCCAGTGTGGTGGTGCATGCCTGTAGTCCCAGCTACTTCAGAGGCTCAGGCATGAGAATCGCTTGGACTCGAGGGGTGAAGGTTGCAGTGAGCTGAGATTGAACCACTGCACTCCAGCCTGGGTGACAGAGCAAGACTCCATCTCAAAAAAAAAGTCTGGGCCGGGCGCGGTGGCTCAAGCCTGTAATCCCAGCACTTTGGGAGGCCGAGGCGGGTGGATCACGAGGTCAAGAGATCGAGACCATCCCGGTCAACATGGTGAAACCCCATCTCTACTAAAAATACAAAAAACTAGCTGGGCGTGGTGGTGCGTGCCTGTAATCCCAGCTACTTAGGAGGCTGAGGCAGGAGAATTGCCTGAGCCCAGGAGGCGGAGGTTGCGGTGAGCCGAGATCGTGCCATTGCACTCCAGCCTGGGTAACAAGAGCGAAACTCCGTCTCAGAAAAAAAAAAAAAAAAAAAAAAAAAAAAAGTCTGAGGCCAGGTGGAGTGGTTTATGCCTGTAATCCCCACACTTTGGGAGGCTGAGGTAGGAGGATCACTTGGGCTCAGGAGTTCAAGACCAGCCTGGCCAACACAGTGAAACCCCATCTCTACAAAAAATACAAAAATTGGCTGGGCATGGTAGTACACACCTGTAGCCTCATCTACTGAGGAGGCTGCTCCCAGCTGCTTCCAGCTGTTCTGCTCCCAGGGACCCAGGAGGGGTTGGCAGGAGGATCACTTGAGCCCAGGAGCTACAGGCTGCTGTGAGCTATGATCGCACCACTGAACTTCCAGCCTGGGTGACAGAGCAAGACCCTATCTCTTAAAAAAAAAAAAAAAAGGTTGGAATTTGTGTTCGTCGAAACCTCTCTTAGGGCTTAAAATTGTCGCATGCTTCTTCCTTCTTCCCGGCCTCTTAGCATGGGCTGTGGATGGGGAGGGTCTCACTCTCCCACCCTTCCCGAAGCAGGAACTCACCACCACATTTTTTGTAGGCAAGTGGCTTGAGGAGGACCTGGGAGGGAGGAGGGGTGAGGCATGGGGGGGTGGAGGCAGGACTGGTGGGGGCCACATGGTCTTTGAGGGCAAGACCTCCCAGCCTGGCCTGCTGCAATGCAACACCGCTCTTAGGTGCTTTTGGCAAAGATGCTGTGTCTTTTTTGTTGCTGTTTATTTGATTTTTGAGATAGAGGCTTGCTCTGTCGCCCAGGCTGGAGTGCAGTGGTGCAATCACAATTCACTGCAACCTCCTGCCTCAGCTTCCCCAATAGCTGGGATTATAGGTGCCCACACAGTGGCAAGCTAATTTTGTATTTTTGGTAGACATGGGTTTTCACCATGTTGGCCACGCTGATTTCGATCGTCTGAACTCAAATGATCTGCCCGTCTTGGCCTCCCAAAGCAATGGGATTATAGGCGTGAGCCACCGCACCCAGCAAGATGCTGTATTTTAGTGAGAAGCTGTCTCTCGAGAAGGAACAGAGTGCTTGCTATGCTCCAGGCAGGACTTGGAGCTTGAATAGGTCAGGCTTCAAAAGCCACTTGGAACTGTAGAAGCTTGAGCAAGTTATTTCTCTTCCGAGTCTGGAAAGCAAAGTCCCCAAATCCATGCTGCCTGAGTTTGGATAAAATGAGGTGTTGAGAGTGTCTGGTGGAGGAAGTTAAGTGTGGTCCCCATGGTTGTATTTCCCCTGGCTCTGCCCCAATTCTTTGAGTTCCTCTTTCTGGATCTTCCCACCAGCCCTGCTCAGACAAAGTGGGAGCCTGTCTTGTCTGTGGATATTTAATGGCAGGTTCGGGATGATCAAGTTTGAGTCATGGAGACAGATAATGATAGCCCCTGTGGCTGCCCCCGGTCCCCGGAGTGTTTCTGCCTTCTTGTCTGTGATTGTGCACCTGGGTTGGGTGTTGGTGGAGCTTACACCAGGGTGGCAAGGACAGGAAGTTGGTCCCTGCTTGTGTGTGTGTGTGTGTGTGTGTGTGTGTGTGTGTTTTATGTGATTATTTCTTCTGCAGCCCCCAGAGTAGGTAGGTTTTTTTTTCTTTTTAAAATTTTTTTCTTTTTTTAGAGACGGGGTTTCTCCATGTTAGACTGGTCTCGAACTCCCAACCTCAGGTGATCCACCCGCCTCGGCTTCCCAAAGTGCTGGGATCACAGGCGTGAGCCACCGTGCCTGGCCCTTTTTTTTTTTTTTTGAGATGGAGTCTTGCTCTTTCACCAGTATGGAGTACAGTGGCAGCCCACTTCAACCTCTATCTCTAGGGTTCAAGCGATTCCCCTACTTCAGTCTCCTGAGTAGCTGGGACTACAGGCACGCACTACCACGCCCAGCTAATTTTTTTTTTTTTTGAGACAGAGTTTTGCTTTTGTTACCCAGGCTGCGTGTGCAATGGCGCGATCTCGGCTCACCGCAACCTCCATCTCCTGGGTTCAAGCAATTCTCCTGCCTCAGCCTCCTGAGTAGCTGGGACTACAGGCGTGTACCACCATGCCCAGCTAATTTTTGTATTTTTAGTAAAGACGGAGTTTCACCATGTTGACCAGGATGGTCTCGATCTCTTGACCTCGTGATCCACCCATCTTGGCCTCCCAAAGTGCTGGGATTATAGGCGTGAGCCACCGCGCCCGGGCTTTTTTTTTTTAATTTTAGTAGAAATGTGGTTTCACCATGGCCAGGATGGTCTCAATCTCCTGACCTCATGATCTGCCCATCTTCGCCTTCCAAAGAGCTGGGATTACAGGAGTGAGCCACCTTGCCTGACCTTTTTCTTTTTTCCTTTCTTTCTTTTTTTTTTTTTTTTGGAGACCAAGTCTCACTCTGTTGCGTAGACTGCAGTGAGTGCAGTGGTGTGATCTTGGCTCACTGTAACCTCTCCCTCCCAGGTTCAAGTGATTCTCCTGCCTCAGCCTCCCAAATAGCTGGGACTATACGCGCCTGCCACCTTGCCCAGCTAATTTTTTTTTTCCCCTCCTAGAGACAGAGTTTCATAGTCTTAGCCAGGATAGTCTAGATTTTCCTTTTTTTTTTTTTTTTTTTTTTTTTTTGAGACAGAGTTTCGCTCTTGTTACCCAGGCTGGAGTGCAATGGCGCGATCTCGGCTCACCGCAACCTCCGCCTCCTGGGTTCAGGCAATTCTCCTGCCTCAGCCTCCTGAGTAGCTGGGATTACAGGCACGCGCCACCATGCCCAGCTAATTTTTTTGTATTTTTAGTAGAGACGGGGTTTCACCATGTTGACCAGGATGGTCTCGATCTCTCGACCTTGTGATCCACCCGCCTCGGCCCCCCAAAGTGCTGGGATTACAGGCGTGAGCCACCACGCTCGGCTTTATTTATTTATTTTTGAGACAGAGTCTCACTCTGTTGTCCAGGCTGGAGTGCAGTGGTGAGATCTCAGCTCATTGCACTTCCGTCTGCTGAGTTCAAGTGATTTTCCTGCCTCAGCCTCCCAAGTAGCTGGGACTACAGGTGCCCACCACCATGCCTGGCTGTTTTTGTACTTTTAGTGGAGACGGGGTTTCACCATGTTGGCTAGGCTGGTCTTGAAATCCTGATTTCAAATGATCTGCCCACCTTGGCTTCCCAAAGTGCTGGGATTACAAGCAAGAGCCACCATTCTTGGCCCAAGTCAGTAGTGTTTTATTTTCTGTTTTTGAGATAGGGTCTTGCTCTGTTGCCCAGGCTGGTTCATGGCTCACTGCAGTCTCTAACTCCTGGGTGCAAGCAATCCTCCCACCTCAGCCTTCCGAATAGCTGGAATCACAGGCATGCACCAGCACACCTGGCTAATTTTGTATTTTTGGTAGAGATGGGGTTTCTCCATGTTGGTCAGGCTGGTCTCAAACTCCCAACCCCATGTGATCCGCCTGCCTTGGCCTCCCAAAGTATACTTGGCTTTTTGTATAGGAAGGGGGTGTGAATGAATGTGAGGGGTGGGCCATGGTGTGAGGGACCCTGTGCTCTGGGTACCCCCTTGCACATATCTGGGTCTGGGTGAGTCACCGCCTGAGCCAGGGGACCCATGACATTTTAGGCTTCATGGCGAGTCCGGGTGTGAGCAGGCTGTACCAACCCCGTTGCCTGCCTATCCAATCCCCCAGACCACAGTAGGGGCCTCTGAGGGGGTAAAAGAATGCAGTCTTTGGGTACTGCCTGGCCTTTAGCCTGGTGGGTAGAGCCTGCTCCTACCTCGTTTTTACCCAGAAGTCACCCCAAAGTATTTGGGAGGCACAGAAACTGCAAAGGGAGGCCCAGACGTGTCAGAGCTGTTGGCTAAGTTGTAGATGCTCTCCTTCCTGGCCCAACCCCTGGGCCCAGTTACAGATTATCTTGTTTGTTTTTGTTGTTGTTGTTTGTTTTTTGAGATGGAGTCTCACTCTTGTCACCCAGGCTGCAGTGCAGTGGCATGATCTCGATTCACTGCAACATCCACCTCCCGGGATCAAGACCCTCTCACTTCAGCCTCCAAAGTAGCTAGGATTACAGGTGTGTGCGCCACCATGCCTCGTTAATTTTGTGTGTATTTAATAGACTCTGGGTTTCATGATGTTGGTCAGGCTGGTCTCGAACTCCTAGCCTCAAGTGATCCATCTACCTCAACCTACCAAAGTGCTGGCATTACAGGTGTGAGCCACCATGTCCAGCCTGTTACTGATGATCTATCTGGACAAGGACGGGAGACTCCCAGGACTGGGGGAATTTATGTCGGCAGAAGTGGGTGGTCCAGGGGTCCCTACCCTCCTTGTTCCACCTCCAGCCTCTGGGGAAGTGGCTGCCTGCCTGGGAGAGCAACATCTCAGCTCATGCCGCGTACGCCAGTATGATTTGTGGCTGGCCTGTCTGCATCTCCAATATTGATACCTTGGTCTAAAAGGAGACCCTGGGAACAGACAGAGTGGGCCAGCCGGGAGCCTGGCAGCACAGCCCTGGCCTGCTTGTAGGTGTCACCTGACAGCTTTCCATTTGCAAGTCCCCTCCCCCTCCAACATCCTGGCACCCACTGCCGCCTCTCAGAGCCCCAGTCTCTGGTTTCTGCCTGTGATTCTGGGCTGTGGCCCCTGTAGAAACTCAGGTGTCATCGTCACTCTGTCCCCCCGGGCTGCCTAGCCTTCAGCTTGGCCACTCCCTGTCCCTGGGCCTTGGTAATCAGAGCCAGGCTCCAGCCGGCTTTTCCAGTTGGGGGTTGGAGGTGGTGCCCAGAGCGCCCCTGGAGGGGGTGGGGGGCCCACACCCCGGAAGTCCTGAGCCTTGGAACGCTCTCAGGTCTGTGTGAGAGCCGGGGCTGGCCCAGACGCTCAGCGTCTGCGGTCAGGGAGGATCAAGGCAGGTGTTTTCAGGCCTTGGTGTCAGGGGTGGGAGAGGGATGCCTGGCTTCGGAGGGGCACACGGTAAGGCTGGAGGGTGGCGGCCCTGTGGACTACCCCTCCTGTGCTCTTCAAGGTCAAACAAGTCAGATCAGGAGCAGGGGTGCCCAGAGGGGAAGAGTGGCTGCTTGGTTCTGGGAAGGCGGTGACATCTCCATGGAGGGTGACCGAGGCCAGGCTAAGAGGGAAGTGGGGGCACACACCTCAGAGGCTCAGGCAAGTGTGGGCAGGCAGGGTCCTGGGCTGGTGAGGAGCACGGACCTGCCTGTGTCTGGCTCCTCTGGGAACCCCTGCAGAGGCTCCCATCCTGAGGGTCTCTGCACCCCCTGTCTCGCCCCTCCCACAGGCAGCATGATCCCAGTGGCCGAGTTCAAGCAGTTCACGGAACAGCAGCCTGCATTCAAGGTGCTCAAACCCTGGTGGGACGTGCTGGCCGAGTACCTCACTGTAGCCATGCTCATGATCGGGGTCTTTGGCTGCACCCTCCAGGTGAGGGGCTCCCCTGGGAAGGGGGCATGACCAGAGGGGCGGGGCAGGGTTGTGGAGAAGTCCTGAAGTCTTCCCATCACCCAAAAAGTGAGAAAGGAAGCTGAAGACATAGCCCCATATGGAAACCAATCCATACCGCTTATCTTCCTTACCTCCAGAGCCAGGAGTACCAGAGTCCTCCATGTTGCTATGCCATTCCTTTTTTTTTTTTTTTTTGAGACGGAGTTTTGCTCTTGTTACCCAGGCTGGAGTGCAATGGCGCGATCTCGGCTCACCACAACCTCTGCCTCCCGGGTTCAAGCAATTCTCCTGCCTCAGCCTCCCGAGAAGCTGGGACTACAGGCGTGTGCCACCATGCCCAGCTAATTTTTGTATTTTTAGTAGAGACGAGGTTTCACCATGTTGACCAGGATGGTCTCGATCTCTTGACCTCATGATCCACCCGTCTCGGCCTCCCAAAGTGCTGGGATTATAGGCGTGAGCCACCGCGCCCGGCCACCATTCCTTTTTTTTTTGAGACAGAATCTCTCTATGTTGCCCAGGCTGGAGTGCAGTGGCATGATCTCAGCTCACTGCAACCTCCACCTCCCCAGTACAAGTGATTCTCCTGAGTCAGCTTCCTGAGTAGTTAGTTGGGATTATAGGTGCCCGCCACCATGCCTGGCTAATTTTTTTTTTTTTTTTAAAGATGGGGTTTCACCATGTTGGCCAGGATGGTCTCAATCTCCTGACCCCATGATCCACCTGCCTTGGCCTCCCAAAGTGCTGGAATCACAGGCGTGAACCACCGTGCCTGGCTGCCTGGCTAATTTTTGTAGTTTTTTAGTGGAGACCAGGTTTCACAGTGTTGGCCAGGCTGGTGTCCAACTCCTGATCTCAAGTGATCTGCCTACATGGGCCCCCAAAGTGCTAGCATTACAGGCATGAGCCACTTTGCCTGGTCTTTTCTTTTTTCTTTTTTTTTGAAAAGGAGTCTGATCTTGCTCTGTCGCCCAGGCTGGAGTGCAGTGGCATGGTCTCAGCTCACTGCAACCTCTGCCCCCAGATTTAAGTGATTCTCCTGCCTTAGCCTCCCAAATTGGTGGGATTACAGGCACATGCCACTACACCCAGCTAATTTTTGTATTTTTAGTAGAGATGGGGTTTCACTGTGTTGGCCAGAGTAAGACCGTCTTGCTTTGTCGTCCAGGCTGGAGTCAGTGGCACGATCTCAGCTCTGAAAGAAACAGGCCAGGCTTGGTGGCTCACACCTGTAATCCCGGCACTTTGGGAGGTCGAGGCGGGAGTATCACTTGAGGCTAGGAGTTCAAGACCAGCCTGGCCAACATGGTGAAAACCTATCTTTACCAAAAATACAAATGTTAGCCGGGTATGGTGGCAGACACCAGTAATCTCAGCTACTTGGAAGGCTGAGGCAGGAGAATCGCTTGAACCCGGGAGGTGGAGGTTGCACTGAGCTGAGATCCTGCCACTGTGCTCCAGCCTGGGAAACAGAGTGGGACTCCACCGAAAAAAAAAAAAAAAAAAAAACAGACATGGTCTTATTCTCTCATGCAGGCTGGAGTACAGTGGCATGATCATAGCTCACTGCAGCCTTGAACTCCTGGGCTCAAGGGATCCTCCTGCCTCAGCCTGCAGAGTAGCTGGGATTACAGGCACACACAACCATGCCCAGCTAATTTTAAATTTCTTGTTGATACAGGAGTCTTGCTATGTTGCCCAGACTGGTCTTGAACTCCTGGCCTCAAGTGATCCTCCCACCTCAGCCTCCCAAAGTGCTGGGATTAGAAGTGTGAGCCATGGTGCCCAGCTCCATACTTTCATAATGCTCAGTTTCATCCCTGGAATCAGGAAAGGACTGTAGTTGCTATATGAGTTTGTTACTTCTGCTGTAACAAAGTAGCAGGGATTGAGTGGCTTAAACACCAGAAATGTATCCTTTTCCAGTTGGCCAGAAGTCTGAGATCAAGGTGCCAGTTGACAGTAAGGGAGAATCTTCCAAGCCTCCTTCCTAGATTCTCGTAGCTCCAGGCATTCCTTGGCTGTATGTAGATAACATTCTCCTGTTTGTTTTTTGTTGTTGTTGTTGTTGTTGTTGTTTTTGTTTTCAAGACGGAATCTTGCTCTGTCACCCAGGCTGGAGTGCAGTGGCACGATCTCAGCTCACTGTAACCTCCACTTCTCGGGTTCAAGTGATTCTCCTGTCTCAGCCTCCCTGAGCAGCTGAGATTACAGGTGTGCATGCCACCACACCCAGCTAATTTTTGTGTTTTTAGTAGAGACAGGGTTTTACCATGTTGGCCAAGCTGGTCTCTAACTCCTGACCTTGTGATCCACCCGCCTTGGCCTCCCAAAATACTGGGATTACAAGTGTAAGCCACCACGCCTGGCTTTTTTTTTTTTTTTTTTTTTTTTTTTTTTGAGACAGCATTTTTGCTGGGCATGGTGGCTTGAGCCTGTAATCTCAGCACTTTGGGAAGGCGAGGTAGATGGATCAACACAGGTCAGGAGTTCAAGACCAGCCTGGCCAACACAGTGAAACTCTGTTTTTATTAAAAATACCGCCCCCCCCCCAAAAAAAAAAATTACCTGGGTATGGTGGTGGGTGCCTGTAATCCTAGCTATTCAGGAGGCTGAGGCAGGAGAACTGCTTGAACCCAGGAGGCAGAGGTTGCACCATTGCACTCCAGCCTGGGCAACAAGAGCAAAACTGTGTCTCAAAACAAAAGAGAGAGTGTGTTTTTAAATCAAGCTCTGTCACCTAGGCCAGAGGTCAGTGGTGCAATCATAGCTCACTGTAACCTTGTACTCCTGGCCTCAAACAATCCTCCTCTACCACCCGTGCTTGACCCCGCCCCACCTCCTGCCCACTGCCTTGGGAATCACTGGGATTACAAACGAGCCACTGCACCCAGCCTCTCCCTGTATCCTCACGTCATCTTCCCTCTATGTGTCTTTCTCTGTTGTCTAAATTTCTTCTTTCTCCAAGGATGCAGTCATACTCGGCCCACCCTACAGGCTTTGTCTTAACTTGACTACCTCTGCAGAGACCCTATTTCCAAACAGGAGCCGCCTGAAGCAGTTCAAATAATGCCACATTCACAAGGATTCAGAGTTGGAACTTCAACATCTTTTGGGGGGACATGATTCAACCCAGTTCTTTTTCTCAGACAAAGAATAGTGCTTTGTCAGGTGTAGTGGCTCACGCTTGTAATTCCAGCACTTTGGGAAGCTGAGGCAGGGGATCACTTGAGGTCAGGAGTTTGAGACCAGCCTGGCCAACATGGTGAAACCCCATCTCTACTAAAAATACAAAAATTAGCCTGGTATAGTTGTGTGTGCTTGTAGCCCCAACTACTCAGGAGGCTGAGGCAAGAGAATCGCTTGATCCTGGGATGGGGAGGTTCCAGTGAGCTAAGATCACACCACTGCATGGCAGCCTGGGTGACAGAGGGAGACTTGGGCTCAAAAAAAGAAGAAAAAAAAAGACCAGTGCTTAAAGGTTTAGTAGAACTCTTCCAAAGTCACAGCTAGCTTGGTGACAGTCAGAGACGGGGATGGGGGTGCGGGGGCGGGGGGGGGAGTCTCCTACCTTCCACCTTTTTTTTTTTTTCCATTTTCCTCATTCTCTCTCTTTTTACAATTATTATTTTTGAGACGGAGTCTGACTCTGTAGCCCAGGCTGGAGTGCAATGGCATGATCTTGGCTCACTGCGACCCCCACCTCCTGGGTTCAAGCAATTCTCCTGCCTCAGCCTCCTGAGTAGCTGGGATTATAGGTACCCACCACCACGCCCAGCTAATTTTTGTATTTTTAGTACAGACAGGGTTTCACCATATTGGCCAGGATGGTCTTGAACTCCTGACCTCAAGTGATCTGCCCATCTCGGCCTCCCAAAGTGTTGGGATGACAGCCCTTTTTCTCTTTTGCTCCTCAGGTGACACAGGACAAAATCATCTGTCTGCCCAATCATGAGCCCCAGGAGAACTTATCAGAGGCCCCGTGCCAGCAGTTGTTGCCTCGAGGGGTCCCTGAGCAGATGGGGGCCCTGCAGGAAGTGAAAGGCCTTAAGAACAACCTGGACCTGCAGCAGTACAGCTTCATTAACCAGCTGTGCTATGAGACAGCCTTGCACTGGTACGCCAAGTACTTCCCCTATCTTGTGGTCATTCACACACTCATCTTCATGGTCTGCACCAGCTTCTGGTTCAAGTTCCCTGGCACCAGCTCCAAGATCGAACACTTCATCTCCATCCTGGGCAAGTGTTTCGACTCTCCGTGGACCACAAGGGCCCTGTCCGAGGTCTCCGGGGAGAACCAGAAGGGCCCAGCCGCCGCTGGACGGCCCACAGCAACCATAGCAGCCACGGCAGGGGCTGGGCCAGGGAAGGCAGGGGAAGGTGAGAAGGAGAAAGTGCTGGTGGAACCAGAGAAGGTGGTGACCGAGCCTCCGGTTGTCACCCTGCTGGACAAAAAGGAGGGTGAGCAAGCCAAAGCCTTGTTTGAGAAGGTGAAGAAGTTCCGCGTGCACGTGGAGGAGGGTGACATCCTATACACCATGTACATCCGGCAGACGGTGCTGAAGGTGTGTAAGTTTCTGGCCATCCTGGTCTACAACCTGGTCTATGTGGAGAAGATCAGTTTCCTGGTGGCCTGCAGGGTGGAGACGTCGGAGGTCACGGGCTACGCCAGCTTCTGCTGCAACCACACCAAGGCCCACCTTTTCTCCAAGCTGGCCTTCTGTTACATCTCCTTCGTGTGCATCTACGGGCTCACCTGCATCTACACGCTCTACTGGCTCTTCCATCGGCCCCTCAAGGAGTACTCCTTCCGTTCCGTGCGGGAGGAGACTGGCATGGGGGACATTCCTGACGTCAAGAACGACTTTGCCTTCATGCTGCACCTCATCGATCAGTACGACTCGCTCTACTCCAAGCGCTTTGCCGTCTTCCTGTCCGAGGTCAGCGAAAGCCGCCTAAAGCAGCTCAATCTCAACCATGAGTGGACACCGGAGAAGCTTAGGCAGAAGCTGCAGCGCAACGCCGGGGGCCGGCTGGAGCTGGCCCTCTGCATGCTTCCGGGACTGCCCGACACTGTCTTCGAGCTCAGTGAGGTGGAGTCGCTCCGGCTGGAGGCCATCTGCGATATCACCTTCCCCCCGGGGCTGTCGCAACTGGTGCACTTGCAGGAGCTCAGCTTGCTCCACTCGCCCGCCAGGCTACCCTTCTCCTTGCAGGTCTTCCTGCGGGACCACCTGAAGGTGATGCGTGTCAAATGCGAGGAGCTCCGCGAGGTGCCACTTTGGGTGTTTGGGCTGCGCAGCTTGGAGGAGCTGCACCTGGAGGGGCTCTTCCCCCAGGAGCTGGCTCGGGCAGCCACCCTGGAGAGCCTCCGGGAGCTGAAGCAGCTCAAGGTGTTGTCCCTCCGAAGCAATGCCGGGAAGGTGCCAGCCAGTGTGACCGATGTCGCCGGTCACCTGCAGAGGCTCAGCCTGCACAATGATGGGGCCCGCCTGGTGGCCCTGAACAGTCTCAAGAAGCTGGTGGCGTTGCGGGAGCTGGAGCTGGTGGCCTGCGGGCTGGAACGCATCCCCCATGCGGTGTTCAGCCTGGGCGCGCTGCAGGAACTTGACCTCAAGGACAACCACCTGCGCTCCATCGAAGAAATCCTCAGCTTCCAGCACTGCCGGAAGCTGGTCACGCTCAGGCTGTGGCACAACCAGATCGCCTATGTCCCCGAGCATGTGCGCAAGCTCAAGAGCCTGGAGCAGCTCTACCTGAGCTACAACAAGCTGGAGACCCTGCCCTCCCAGCTCGGCCTGTGCTCGGGCCTCCGTTTGCTGGATGTGTCCCACAACGGGCTCCACTCCCTGCCGCCCGAGGTGGGCCTCCTGCAGAACCTACAGCACCTGGCCCTCTCCTACAATGCCCTGGATGCCCTGCCCGACGAGCTCTTCTTCTGCCGCAAGCTGCGGACGTTGCTTCTGGGCGACAACCAGCTGACCCAGCTCTCGCCCCAAGTGGGTGCCCTCAGAGCCCTCAGCCGCCTGGAGCTCAAAGGCAACCGTTTAGAGATGCTGCCGGAAGAACTTGGCAACTGTGGGGGGCTCAAGAAGGCAGGACTCCTGGTGGAAGACGCCCTTTACCAGAGTCTGCCGGCAGAGGTGCGGGACAAGATGGAGGAGGAATGAACCTGGGGTGGGGTTGTTTTAGGTAAAGCCTTAAAAACGTTTCCTCCCTGGAGTCTCAACCACAGTCTTCCAAGACAGGAAGCCAAATGGGCCCAGGCCAGGAGAGGAGGGACAGACCGTGTCAGCCTTCTGGGGCCCGGGCAGGATCTGGGGCAGGTTTGTCTGGGAAGAGGGACCGGATGTTGTGGATTTGGGGTGGAACCTTGTATGGAGGGATTAACTCAGTCATGGGATTCGCCGACCAAAACCACACCTGTGTCTCTGGCGGGCTGGCTGGCCTTGCTCCCATCCCTAGATCAGAACTGCTGCCTCTCCCTGGATATTCTAGCTCAATTCATGCCATATATGGGAGAAAGGACACATCCCAGTGGGATTTCCAATACGCCACTCCCATGCAACAAACAAAGCAACTTACATCTGGGGTTCTCTCCCAAGGAGAGGACACAGACACAGTTGTTTGCCGTGGATATGTGAGCTCAGGACAATGGTTCTCATTTGGCTAAGCGTCAAAATCAATTAGGGAGTTGGGGCAAAACAAAATATCCCTGGCCCCACACCTGAAAGACTGACTCAGGAGGTTTGGATAGGGGCCAGGAGTCTGTTTGTGAGTGTTCCAGGTAGTTCTTGTGTAGGTAAGTGGTCCTGGGACAGTATGTTGGGAAATGCTGATGTAAAGGTATCAGGGCTGGGTGCTGTGGCTCATGCCTGTAATCCCAGCACTTTGGGAAGCCCAGGCAGGAGGACCAGTTGAGCTTAGGAGTTCAAGATCAGTCGGCAACATAGCGAGACCCCACCTCTGCCCCCCTCCACCAACCAAAATCCAAGTATCTAAATTCTGATCCCTTTTGAGGTCCTAGACCCTTTGAGAAACTGATGAAACTCCTTCCTCAGGAAAATGCTGGTGTACAATACACACAAGGCTCTTCAGGCAGCAGATAAATTTCCCCAGAGCTATTCAAGGGCTTCCTAAGGTGGGCAGATTCCAGGGTTAGGACACCTGCTAGAGAGGTGACATTTTTCCAAGGACAGGCAGGGACTTTGGTCTTGACTGTTCCCTGTGAGAGGGAGCACATGTCAGTGGGTGCTTAATAAATAATAATTATGAGAATTCTAGTTTTGATCTCTTTTTCTTTTTGAGACAGAATTTTGTTTCTGTTGCCAATGGCACAATCTCAGCTGACCGAAACCTCCACTTCGCAGGTTCAAGCGATTCTCCTGCCTCAGCTTCCCAAGTAGCTGGGATAATAGGCACATATCACCACACCCAGCTAATTTTGTATTTTTAGTAGAGATGGGGTTTCTCCATGTTGGTCAGGCTGGTCTGGAACTCCTGACCTCAGGTCATCCACCTGCCTTGGCCTCCCAAAGTGCTGGGATTACAGGCGTGAGCCACCACACCTGGCCCTAGTTTTGATCTCTTATGTGCACTTCTGTCATTGTCTCAAACCTTTTTTTTTTTTTTTTTTTTTTTTTTTTTTGAGATGGAGTTTTGCTCTTGTTACCCAGGCTGGAGTGCAATGGCGCAATCTCGGCTCACCACAACCTCCGCCTCCTGGGTTCAGGCAATTCTCCTTCCTCAGTCTCCTGAGTAGCTGGGATTACAGGCACGCGCCACCATGCCCAGCTAATTTTTTGTATTTTTAGTAGAGACGGGGTTTCACCATGTTGACCAGGATGGTCTCAATCTCTTGACCTCGTGATCCACCAGCCTCAGCCTCCCAAAGTGCTGGGATTACAGGCGTGAGCCATCATGCCCAGCCTCTAAAACCTTTTATTAGGGCCAGGCATAGAGGCTCATGCTTGTAATCCCAGTGCTTTGGGAGGCTGAGGTGGGAGGATCACTTGAGCTCTTAAGTTTGAGACCAGCTTGGGCAACATGAGATCTCATCTCTACAAAAAATAGTTGCCCAGGTGTGCTGATGTGGGCCTGTGGTCCCAGCTACTATGAAGGAAGAAGCAGGAGGACTGCTTGTGCCCAGGACCCAGGAGGTTGAGACTGCACTGAGCTGTGATTGCACCACTGCACTCCAGCCTGGGCAATAGAACAAGATACTGTGTCTAAAAATAAGTAAACAACATTAACCTTTTATTTATTTTTGTTTGTCCTTTTGAGATGGAGTCTTGTTCTGTTGCTGAGTCTGGAGTGCAGTGGCATGATCGTGGCTCACTGCAACCTCTGATTCCCAGGTTCAAGTGATTCTCCTGCCTCAGCCTCCAGAGTAGCTGGGATTACAGGCACCCACCACCATACCTGGCTGAATTTTGTATTTTTAGTAGACATGGGGTTTCACCATGTTGGCTAGGCTGGTCTCAAATTCCTAACCTCAGGTGATCCCCCCATTTCGTCTTCCCAAAGTGCTGGGATTACAGGCGTGAGCCACCGTGCCTGGTCTATTTGTTTATTTCTGAGACAAAGTCTTGCTTCCTCAGGCTGGAGTGCAGTGGCGAGATCTCAGCTCACTGCAAACTCTGCCTCCCCGATTCAAGCAATTCTCCTGCCTCAGCTTCCCGAGTAGCTGGGATTACAGGCTCCGAAAATACCATGCCCAGCTTTTTTTGTAATTTTAGTAGAGACGAGGTTTCGCCAGGTTGGTCTCAAACTCCTGACCTCAAGTGATCCGCCCACCTTGGCCTCCCAAAGTGCTAGGATTACACATGTCAGCCACCGTGCCTGGCCATAATATTAACGTTTTATTTCATGTGGCCAAGCAACACCCATGTGCCAGAATCAAGGATGAGTCTCTTGTTCTCAGAGCAGAGGCACAGAAGGCCACCTGGAAGAGGGGAAGGTAAAGGTCTCAGCTATAACTCCAAGCTTGTGTGCACTCCACCCACAAGTTGTCACCAGTGGAGTTCCGACAAGCCTGGAACACTCATCCCAAAGTGTTCACTCGTTGGACCAGGAGCTTGGAAGGGCACTTGGCACAGTCCGCCTGGTCCTGGCCACCTCCCAGATGTCTCTGCAAAATCAGAAACTTTCTGGCATCTAAGAGCAGAGGGAAGCTGCTCTTGGGGGAACTCTGCGTTCCAGATGGGACATTTCCCCAGCACCCCTCAGACCACTTAAAGGAGTGGTTTAGGCTGCCGGGGGGCCCAGGCACCGAGCACCTAACCCGAGGGCCCGTCCTCAGATAGGATAGGAATTCTGCACGTCCAGGCGCTGGGCTCACGTTTCAGGTGTGAGAGCGATGAAGGGGGCGACTTGAGGTTCCATGTGGGTAAGGCCAAGAACTCTGGCCTTGACCTTGGCCCCGTCGCCGAGGTCAGCGGTCACGCCACCGGGTTCCCACGGCCGTCCCCTCCTGCCTGGCTTTAGCCAACTCTGAGCCTGGTGGGACCGGCAAGAAGGGAAAGGGCTCCGGACGGAGCCTAATTACAGTGAGGAGCCGGCCCCCGCTGCCAGGGGGAGGCTAGGAGGCAAGTAAACACAAGAGGAATCCTAACAAAGCACCATTCGTGAGGAAGGCATTCTGAAAGGACGCCCAAGCCGATCGAAAAAAGCGAGGAGGGGGCTGAGGCTGCACCGCGGGGGAGACCAGGTGTAGACCATTGCTTCAGAAAGCGATTCCAGGAACGCACATGCACAGAAAAGACGCGCGCGAACACGGGTTCTCCTCCGTACGCATGCGCGCCGCTTTCCCCGCCCACCGCCCTCACTAGAACGGCGGGTTTCCTCGCAGCGCCTCTCTCCGGAGCGCTCGGGAATTGGCACATGCGCACCACTGTGGTGGCGACAAGAGGGGGGTTGCACGTTGCCTACCTCGAGCTCTAGGTGGCGTCATCCTTCGGGCTGAGCCGAAGCACGCACGCGCGGAGGCTCGCAGCTGGGGAAGGGCGGGTGCGCGCCGCGGGCATGCGCCATGCGGAGCGAGACGGCGGCTCGGCGGGGTCATCTAGACGCAGGCGCAGTGCGGTGTTTGTCTGCCGGACTGACGGGCGACCGGGCGGTGAGCGGCGGCGGTGGCGGCGGGGAAGATGGCGGCGTCCTCCCTGGAGCAGAAGCTGTCCCGCCTGGAAGCAAAGCTGAAGCAGGAGAACCGGGAGGCCCGGCGGAGGATCGACCTCAACCTGGATATCAGCCCACAGCGGCCCAGGCCCAGTAAGCACGGAGCCGTGGGGGAGGGGGCGGGCGGGGCGGGGCGCGCGCCGCGGGAGGCCCCGCCCCCGCTGCCAGGCCCCGCCCCCGCTTCCGGGGCGCTCGCGCTCCTCCTCTCCGTCCCCCCCGTTGTGGGCTCGCGGGGCAAGGGTCACGGTGACCCGGGGGGCGTAGGGCCGGCGAGCTCCGGGGAATTCGCACCCTCAGGGCCTGGGAGCCCAGTTCCCGGACCCAGGCGAGGCCCCCAGCTGATGACCCGCCCTCATCGCCGTCATCCTTCGGGTCGGGCTCCCCGGACTCCGCGCGTCCGTGATCACATCCAGGTGGCCCCTAAAACACAGACACGGCCCTTTTGACCCGATGTTACCACTCCCGTCATCTCAGGGACTGTCCAGCGCGCCCCACCCCTGGCCTAGGAGCTTGTCAGCCCTTGTAGCGGACGATCCACGCACACACGCACGCCTGCTCTGGGGACACCTGAGGTCATTTGACCACAAAGAGCCCCTCCCCGTCTCTTCTGACCCGAGGATTTTCCCTCTCGCTCTCCCTGTGACCGTGTCTGGGGTGGGGGGGGGTAGGACGGGGTTCCCTTCTTTCTAGCGACAATAACCTTGGTTCAGCAGACCCCCTCCCACGTATACCAGGCCCCCTCAAACCCCTGTTAACAGTTTCACTGCCACCATTTTGGTTGAGCATGTGTCTGACCTCTCCAGAAATGCATATCCACCCCCAGCCATCACAGCAACGTTTGTCACCTGGGTTCAAGTGATTGGCTTCCTTTCCTTCACACCCACCTGACCTGGGAACACCTGAGGCCAATGTGACTCTATCTAGGCCTGCTCCCCACCCCGCAGCAGACATCCACTTGTTTTCTGATGAATCCCACTAAATTGGTATCTACCTCCCTGACGTCTTATCTTTCTAGATCAGTACCTCCCACTCCACACGCACCTGACCTGGGAACACTGACCACATCTAGTCTCTCAGCTTTTTCCCCAAGAGCCTGGTCTCTGAATTAGCTGGGCTGGAGAGAATCAGATTTTCAAACCCTGGGAAGGCCACCCCTGACCCATGATCCTTTTTGTGTCTTTCTTGACCCAGTGAAATGCTCTCATGTCTCATCCAATATGAACTTTGTAGTTTATGTAGCTCTCTATGGAGTCATTGTGATAGGGAAAGAAGGTACCCCCTGTATCTGGGCATCCCACCTATTCCCTGGTCACCCAACCTGACCTTCACAGCCTGACACCCTCCTGTCCCTCCCTCTCCTGACCTGAGTCAGCATGGGATCCTCCTTGGGGAGTCTCTTGGGGGGCCCAGATAAATCATGGAGGTGGAGATTCTGGCGTTGGACACTGCCTGGGACAAGAAGCCCTCAAAAGACAAGGGAGATCCCTGCTAGCCCCTGGGTGCTGCCCTCCCTGGCCCCTGAGTAGATGAGGCAGGGTTGGGTCTAGGGCCCCGGGTGCCTTCAGGGGTGGCCGTTCCCATGCAGAGCTAGGAGGCTGTTGGCAGGCAGGCCCCCGAGGAGTCCCCTCCAGGCGTCTGTGTCTGTGTCAGCTCCATCCCATCCTCCCTGTCCTCCCCATCTCTGTCGGTTCCCAGCCATCTCTGCAGTTCGGTGCCTCCCGCTCCTCCTCGTTTATGATTTGATTTCTTTTCTTTTGGATGAATTGGTCATTTCTGTTGTGATTTATCGTGGTGTTGTTTTTTTTCTTCCTTTTCCCCATCCAGTTATTGTGATCACTCTAAGCCCTGCTCCTGCCCCGTCCCAACGAGCAGGTACCAGCCTTTTTATCATCGCTGCTTGGACATCTGCACCATTGACCTAACCGCTCCCCCAGCCGCAGAATGCCGTCTCCCAGCCCCCATGCTCTGTGTGTCTCCCCATGTCCCCTACCCTCACTCTCACTTTCTCTCTCATTCTACTCAAGCAGCAGGCAGCCCAGCCCGGCCTCCTCTGTGTCCTCCACCTTCTCCCCTCCCTTCCTCTCAGCTCCCCTTTGGACTCCCTGGAGGAGGAGGTGGGCTCCCCACTGAATGGGAGTCTGTGGCCTTCAAGGGGGTGCATGCCTGTGTGTGTGTGTAACTGAGAGAAAGAGAAAGTTGGGCCTGGTGGGTGGCCTATGCCTGTGGATCTCTCTCAACAACGACATGAACACATAGCATCCTCCTGGATGCCACGCCTGCCCTGGGCGCCAGGGACACAGCGGTGAATAGAACAGACGAAGCCCGTCTCCTCTGTAGCGGGGGCTGCAGTAGGGGGGCCCACTGGACAGGGAGCACATTCCCCCTAGAGAAAACATTCTAGCTGGGTGAGTGGCCCTGCATGGGACCAGTCTCGGGAACCTCTGGAGAAGGTGGGATTTTGAACAAAGCCTCTGGGGAGGCCAGGCACAGTGGCTCACACCTGTAATCCCAACACTCCAGGAGGGCAAGACAGGAGGATCACTTGAGCCTAGGAGTTCAGGACCAGCCTAGGCAACATAGCAAGATCTCGTCTCTACTAAAAAAAAAATTATTTTTATTTTTATTTTTTTAGATTTCTTAGGATGACTGCAAAAAATTTTTTTAATTAGTCAGGTATGGTGGTACACACCTATGATCCCAGCTACTCGGGAGGCTGAGGCAGGAAGATCACCTGAGCCTGCTAGGTTGGAGATAATAGTGCACCATTATCACACCACTGCACCCCAGCCTGGGTGACAGAGCCAGGTCCTATCTCAAAAGTTTTAAAAAACAGGCCAGGTGCAGTGGTTCATGCCTGTAATTTCAGCACTTTGGGAGGCCAAGGAGGGTGGATCACTTGAGGTCAGGAATTCGAGACCAGACTGGCCAACATGGTGAAACCCTGTCTCCATAAAAAAGTACAAGAGATTAGCCAGGTGTGGCGGCAGACACCTGTAATCCCAGCTACTAGGGAGGCTGAGACAAGAATCTCTTGAACCCAGGAGGTAGAGGTTGCAGTGAGCCAATATTACACTGCTGCACTCCAACCTGGGTGACAGAGCAACATTCCATCTCAAAAAAAAAAAAAAAACAAAAACAAAAAGGCTGCGTGAAGTGGCTCACTCCTGTAATCTTAGCACTTTCGGAGGCTGAGGCAGGCGAATCATGAGGTCTGGAGTTTGATACCAGCCTGACCATGGTGAAACCTTATTTCTACTAATTTTGTATTTCTACTAAAAATACAAAAATTAGCCAGGCGTGGTGGCGTGCACTTGTAATCTCAGCTACTCAGGAGGCTGAGGCAGGAGAATCACTTGAGTCCGGGAGGCAAAAATTGTAGTGAGCTGAGATCACACATTGTGCTCCAGCCTGGGCGACAGAGTGAGCGTCCCATCTCAAAAAAAAAAAAAATTTTTTTTAAAACTCATCTTGAAGGAGGTGAGGGGAGAGAAGACAGCCCTGCCAGGGCCCTGAGCTTGCACACCTGTGTTGGGAGAGAGACTAGATGGTATGTCCAGCCCTGTGTGTGGTTGTGAGTCTGTGTGTGTGTTTGTGTGTCCAGTGGGCAAGAGGACTGTGTCCTGGCTGCATGGGTGTTGAAGCCACGGCACCCCATGTGTGTGTTGTGCGTGTGTGCATTTGCACGATGTGTGCGTGCATGTTGATGTGGCACCCTGCACACCTGTAGCTCCTGTTGGCAGATGCCTGCCCTCCAGCCTCTGGCTGTCTCTCATCCGTTCTCTCTCTCTCATCCTCACCCTCTTGCTCTCACTCCACCCTCCTGAGCCACCATGTGGCTGTCACCACCTCTGTGGCCTCTGTTCTCAGGGCCTTTGTATCCCTCCTTCCTCCCACGCTGACCCGAGCCCTCCCCTACCTACATCCTCCTGTGCTCCAGTCTGGGGGCCGGCAGCCTCCTCCCTGGGCTCTGGGGCCACTCAGAAGGCCTGGTGGGCTGCGCCAGGGAGGGGACCCACAGGACTCCTCGAGGGATGTGGTCCTTACCCCATGAGAGCTGATGGTGCGGGGCGGGAGCAGGACTCGGATAATCTCTGAGGGTGGGAACCAGGCAGTGTCTGAAGAGATGCCAGGTGCAGAGGGGTTGGGGACTGGGTATGTGGGGAGCACAAGCCCTCAGGAGCCAGAGAGGGGTCGGGGCTGTGGCTCAGGCCATGGGCAAAGCAGAGGTGCCAGTGACCTGAAGAGGCAGGGGGAGAAGCCTAGCCAACACATCGAGACCCCATCTCTTCTAAAAATACAAAAATTAGCTGGGCATGGTGTTGGGCACCTGTAATCCCAGTTACTCAGGAGGCTGAGGCAGGAGCATCACTTGAACCAGAAGGTGGAAGTTATAGTGAGATGAGATCAAGCCACTGCACCCCAGCCTGGGAAACAGAGCAAGGACCTATCTGAAATTTAAAAAAAAACACAGTGGGTGCTGATGTGGCGGTGCCGAGGCTGCAGCGGCCAGGACGGTGGGAGGGGCACGGGAGGCGAGGCCTCTAGGCCAGTCATGAATGCTGGGCCTGGCTGTGTCCTGGGTCCCCAGAGCCCTTCCCTGGCTCCTGCGTGGTCCTCTGGGAGGGGAGCTAAGGGGCACAGCTGCTGCAGGGGCTGGCGGGACCAGGTAGGGCAGTGCTGGACCTCCCACATTGGGACTGAGGTCAGGGTCTTCCTGCCTCTCCTGCTGGTTGAGATCAGGGTCCCAGGCCCACAGCAGAGGGATGGAGCACAGCTGCCAGCGTGGGGTGAGTTTGAGTTAGACCAGGAGGCTGCAGAACTGTGGAGAGAAAAAGCAGACGAGGCAGGAGGAAGAGAGGAGGGGAGAGGGAGAGGAGTGTCTTCAGAGGGCTTTGGCAGGATGGTAGGCCCCAGCCTCTGGGAGGGGCGCCTTGGGAGGTGCTTGTAGCCGTAGCCAGGGCCTCTAGGATGTGAGGTGTCAGGATTGGCTCCTCTGGAAGCCACGTTAGCCTCCTGGCCTCTGTTCCTGCACCTGGTTGCCAGCCCAGCCAGGGAGACCCCTTGCTCCTCTGGGAAGCTGCCCTCCTGTCCCAGGCCCCTCTCTGGCCTGTCTCTGCAGCGCCTCCTCTGGGCACCTGGGCCAAGTCTTGGCTCCTGTCTGTCTGTCTCCTGCCCTCCCACCCCTAATACTGCCTTCCTGCCCCGGGGTGCCCGCTGCCTGCCTGCCGCCTGCCCACCTGCTGTAGCATGCCCAAGCTGCCCGCATGCAGGCTGCTGGATGAGCCGACCCCCATCTGGTCCAGCATTGCCCCCACCTCGTCCTGCCAGCCCCTGCAGGAGCCGTGCTCCCGAGTTCCCCTCCCAGAAGATGCAGGCCCCCTGAGGTTCTGTTCTGCCCCCATGGGTCCCAGCTCTGCAGGCCAGGCCGGGAGGCCCCCATGTCAGCCCATGGGCCCAAGGGGGCCCTCCCCGACCCCGCAGCAGAATGTGGGGCAAGGCAGCCTGAAGCCTGAGTCTCGTGCCCACTGCCGCCTCAGGGTGGCCTCCCTCACTCTTGTCTGGGTGCCACGTTCAGTGCCACCAGCAGGGCCATAGCTTGGGCCAGCCCCGGCAGGTACTCCGCCCTCGCCAATCCAGCCTGTGGGCACTGCGGCCTTGGGCCTGCTTCCTGGGCAGAAGTGGGAGGGAGTGGACACACCGGCCAAGGAGGCCGCCCACCCAAGCGACACCCCAGGTTCCTGTCTCGTTTCTCTGTCAGCATAGACTTGGGGTCCCCTCTCCCTGCCAGCCTCCTCCATGTCCTTCAAGGTCAGGGGATGAGAGAAGGGACTCTGAGGACAGTCTGGGGTGGGAGGGAGACCCCAGCTCCAGCCCTGCAGGGCGGGGGGCTGTGCCGGGCTAGCTGGGGAAGCGCTGTAGGTGATGGTGAGGGTCCTGACCCTTCCCTGGAGTGCCAGATGTGGAGATGAGACCACCTGGGTGCTGACCCCTCTTCCCCGCCACTGGTCTCACCCACCCAGCCCTGCAGCTCCCGCTGGCCAACGATGGGGGCAGCCGCTCGCCATCCTCCGAGAGCTCCCCGCAGCACCCCATGCCCCCCGCCCGGCCCCGTCACATGTTGGGGCTCCCGTCAACCCTGTTCACGCCCCGCAGCATGGAGAGGTGAGCCAGGGGCCCCACAGGGTGGATGGGCAGCAGCATTGAGGGGGCCACTGTGCCAGCCCTGGGAGGAGGATGGTTAAACCGGTGGGAACCCCAATGTGGGGGTCTGGGGTGGCCTTAGGTTGGTCAGGACCTGTCTCCACCAGCATCTGTTCTGTGTCACCAGCATTGAGATTGACCAGAAGCTGCAGGAGATCATGAAGCAGACGGGCTACCTGACCATCGGAGGCCAGGTACCACCTTCACTGAGGCGGTGGGAGGGAGGAGGCCCAGCCAGGCAGGGCCCATCCTGGGGGCACCGGTGGGGGTCGAGGGGTGGTGGCAGAGGCCCCGGGGATCCTCCACCTCTCCCTCTCCTCCCAGCGCTACCAGGCAGAAATCAATGACCTGGAGAACTTGGGCGAGATGGGCAGCGGCACCTGTGGCCAGGTGTGGAAGATGCGCTTCCGGAAGACGGGCCATGTCATTGCCGTCAAGGTGAGCCTTGGCGGCCACCCGGGCCAGGCCCCGTGTCCCAGGCTGGTGCTAAGGCTCCCTCCCATTCCTCCTGTCCCTGCCCGTGTAGCAAATGCGGCGCTCGGGGAACAAGGAGGAGAACAAGCGCATCCTCATGGACCTGGACGTGGTGCTCAAGAGCCATGACTGCCCCTACATCGTGCAGTGCTTCGGAACCTTCATCACCAACGTGAGTTCCCGGCCATGCCAGGCGCCCCCTGCCCCACACCGTGCAGGGTCTCCACCTCTCTCACCCATTGTCCCTTCCCTGGGAGCAGAGCTGCTCGGGGGAGGGCTGGAAGACACAGCTCCTCTGCGTGCCCCCTTCCTGCAGACAGACGTCTTCATTGCCATGGAGCTCATGGGCACCTGTGCTGAGAAGCTCAAGAAGCGGATGCAGGGCCCCATCCCCGAGCGCATCCTGGGCAAGATGACAGTGGCGGTGAGCAGCCAGGCAGGGCATGTGCTGGGCGGGTGGCCTTGGACCGTGCCCCCGCTCATCACATGCACCCTCCCCTGCTCACCTGCAGATCGTGAAGGCGCTGTTCTACCTGAAGGAGAAGCATGGCGTCATCCACCGAGATGTCAAGCCCTCCAACATCCTGCTGGATGAGCGGGGTCAGATCAAGCTCTGCGACTTTGGCATCAGCGGCCGCCTGGTGGACTCCAAAGCCAAGACTCGGAGCGCGGGCTGTGCCGCCTACATGGCCGTGAGTGGGGGCCCTCCAGCAGGGGAGGGGTGGGTACTGGGAGGCCGGCCCCAGCCTTGGAGGTACATCTTCCCCTCCCCGCCGACAGCCTGAGCGCATCGACCCCCCAGACCCCACCAAGCCGGACTATGACATCCGGGCGGATGTGTGGAGCCTGGGCATCTCATTGGTGAGTTAGTGCTCTGCCCCTGTCCTCCAGCCAGGGGCAAGGGCTTCTGTGGGACTCAGAGGGAGAACACGAACCTGTCCTGGCTGGTCTAGCCTTGCCCGTCTCCCTCACAGGTGGAGCTGGCAACGGGACAGTTTCCCTACAAGAACTGCAAGACAGACTTTGAGGTCCTCACCAAAGTCCTGCAGGAGGAGCCCCCGCTTCTGCCTGGACACATGGGCTTCTCAGGGGACTTTCAATCCTTCGTCAAAGACTGGTGAGGACCTCCGCTCTGGGAGGTCAGGGGCAGCCCGCCGCTCTGGGCAGCTGGGGAGGCCAGGGCGGGAGGGGAACGGAGGCCCCACACTGGGATGGAGTGGGTTCAGCTGTGGGCAGGCTTATGGCTGGCAGCTCCAGACAGGACCTGGTGCTGGTGCCTGGGGAGCCCTGAGTTGAGTTTGGAGCTGGCCCAAGGGGACAGCCAGCCCTGTAGGGTGGTCATGGGAGGTCATGAGCACCCTTCTTCAAGCACAGCTACAAGTGCAGGAGCCCCACCTGCCTCTCTAGAGGACCTCAGCCAGTTCTGCCTCCCCAAGCCAGGCCCTTGCCACCTGGCCTAGGCCACAAGGATCAGAGACACACAGTTGCTCCCAGCTGTCAGCAGGGGTCTTGAGGACATCTGCAGCTCCTTCCCCCACACAGATCTTGGGGACCCCTGGCTCCTCTGGGAGGACCTGAGCAATGCGGGGGGGAGGGGGTTGTCCACCGTCTCCTCCTCCCTAGCTTTCACGTCTGTCTTCGCTTTTCTTCCTCTAGCCTTACTAAAGATCACAGGAAGAGACCAAAGTATAATAAGCTACTTGTGAGTACCTGTGGCCCTCCCGGTCCCGGTCCCATCCCCGTCCCTGTGGAGGCTTGAGGCCAGGAGGGAAGACCCCCCCTCCTAAGCCCCACCCCCTCGGGCCCACAGGAACACAGCTTCATCAAACGCTATGAGACGCTGGAGGTGGACGTGGCGTCCTGGTTCAAGGATGTCATGGCGAAGACTGAGTCACCGCGGACTAGCAGCGTCCTGAGCCAGCCGCACCTGCCCTTCTTCAGGTAGCCGTGTGGCATCGGCCAGCCCCACAGGGGGCCAGGGGCATGGCCAAAGGCCCCCTTCCCCGCCCGGCCACCCAGCTGCCCTCAAGGGGAGACCTGGGACCTGGACGGCCACCGAGGGCTGAGGACAGAGAGTGGGGGGGGTGCCCATCCGCTTCTCGCCCTGGGGTCAGCCGGCCATGTGCGTCCCCCGACAGACACTGTGAACGGAAGACAGCAGGCCGCGAGCAGAGTCGCTGTACATTCAGCTGCAGCCTCTGGGCCAGGGCGGCCCCCAGGGGCCAGGAGAGAGCCCCCAAGTCCTGCAGCCACCAAGCTCCCAGCGTGCCATGCCCTCCACCACCCTCACATGCCCGTTCCCCCCCGTTGCCCTCTGTCCCCTGCTCTACCTCTCTGTCCCTGTCTGGCTCTCCCGTCACCCTTCCTGCCTCTGTCTCTCTTCTGTCCTGAGCTTGGGCCCAGCCCCCTCCCGACGGGACCCCTGGGTCTGCCTAGGTTTCCCATGGAGCAATGAGTCAGTGGCCCCCAGAAAGGCGGTGTGGGCATTTGGACTGCGGCTAGACAGGGCTGCACTCTCTCTCTTTCTCTTTGATCTCAGGGGGTCCTTTTTGGAGTTTATTGTATTTTATTGTACTTGGTGGGGTGTTGGGGTGGGGGGTGGAGGAGAGCTTGTTCTCAAGGGGTTTGTCGGTACCTTCAGAAACTTTTACCAAAGTCACGTTTAGCTGCTTGTGGTGGGGCCCCCAACCTCCGTCGGGCACTGGGGGGCTGGGGCTGCTGCTCTGGGGCCACAGCTTGTGGGTGAAGACCTCGGGGTGCAGTGGGGTCTGCAGGGCCCTGGCCACACAAGATGGCCTTCAGGGAAGGTGGGCTTGGGGCATGGCGCAGAACAGGTGACCAGAGGGACTTGGTGACAGAGTAGGGCCATGGGGCCAAGGGAGGGGTCTGGAAGGAGTCAGTGATCGAGGGCAGAGAGAGTGGATGTGGGGGTTCGAGGACGTGTGACAAGCTCCGGCAGGGGCAGGGGCAGGGGCCGGGCTGAGGGTGGGGGTGTGAGGCCATCACCCTCCATTGTGCCCCTGGCCATCCCTCTACTCATGCACACCTGGCCCAGCCCCCGATGAGACCTGGGACTAGGAAAGATCAGGTGTGCACTGGGGGCCCAGGCCAGGGTGTCCCCCGGAGCCCGCTGGGGTGGCCAGAGCAGGAGGGGGTGTGTTTCATTTTTGTGGGTGTTGCATGCAAATCAAGTGGACAAGAAAAAAAAGAAAACCCTGTAAAACCACAAAGAAAAACCAACACAAAAGGCGTGGAAGCTGGCTGGCCCTGGCAGAGGCCACGCAGGTGTAGCACCGCTCTCCTCTCACCTAGCCTGTTGACTCCTGTTGCGATATTCACAAAACGCCGCATGTTTAAAAAGTCATAGACGTCATGGTTTCTCTGCCTCCAGGGGCAAAGCCACCTTCTCTTGCCCATCGGCCTCTGTGTCAGGGGCGGGGGGGTCTGCTGGTCGGGGGCAGGGGCGGGGGGGTGGAAGCGGTGCCAATAGGCCTGGCCCTTTCCTCCTCCCCTAGGTCCAGCTGTGGGGGCCTCTGGGGATTGCTGGAAGGTCGCATGGCTGGTCCCAGGGCCCAGACAGGCCCAAGACCAGGCTGCCTGGTTTTATTTAACTTTATTTTCTGTTTCCCGAGTGTGTGTCTGCCCGCCCTCACCCTCTTCAGTGTTAATTGGGGAGCCCTGGGGGAGTCTCTTGCTTCCCTGCCTCTCTCCCAAGACCTCCCCCTTTGTCACCAGCCATCCCTCTGGATCAGGCAGAGGGCGGACCGGGTGGGCAGAGGCCTGGGGGCGGCTCAGGTCAGCCCACCAGCCAGCGGACCCCTCCTCAGGCTGCCAGTGTTGCCCTGCCCCTTTTTAAAACAAAATGCCCTCCTTTGTAAACCCTTAGGCGCTTGAGAATAAACCCCTCCCTTTTCTTCCACAGTCTGTGGTGTGTTGTGGGTCTGGCAGGGCGAGGTGGAAAGGGGTTGGTGTGTGTGTGTGTGGGGGGGGGGTGTTCTAGTGGATGAGGCCTTTGCATTAAGGGGAGACTGAGGCAGGTTTGGGAGCTGGGTACGAGGTATCAAGCAGCCAACGTGAGGGACACCCCTGCCCCTATTAGCCCCAGGTTGGGCAGCGGAGGATCCCTTAATCCCCCCAGGCCTTGGTCATTGGCTCTGGTGTCAGCCCCTCAGTCTGCCACCCCCGCTCCCTGCCTCCTTCCCAGCCAAGGACAGGGCCACCTGCCCACGTTCAGGGCCTTGGTGCAGCCCAGCTGGTGTGTCTGCTCTGGCCCCAAACACTCCGACCTCAGCCAGTCAGCATGCTGGGCACCGCGCTGCTGCTGGCCCTGCTCCCGGGGATCACCACTGTGCCCAGCGGGCCGCCTGGTATGTATGGGCAGGGAGGTGATGGGTCTGTCATGCTCTTAGCCCTGTGTCACTGTCTTTTTTTTTTTTTTTTGAGATGGAATTTTGCTCTGTTGCCCAGGCTGGAGTGCAGTGGTGCATGATCTCTGCTCACTGCAACCTCCGCCTCCCAGATTCAAGTGAGTCTCCTGCCTTAACCTCTTGAGTAGGTGGGACTACAGGTATGCGTTAGCACGCCCAGCTAATTTTTGCATTTTTAGTAGAGATAGCATTTCCCCATGTTGGCCAGACTGGTCTGGAACTCCTGACCTCAGTCCATCTGCCTGCCTCAACCTCCTAAAGTGCTGGCTTACAGATGGGAGCCACTGTGCTCAGCCATCGTTACCCTCTTTCAACTAGACCTCTGGTCCTCCTACCTCTGGGGGTGGGGGGCAGAGGAGTGGGGTGGGGTCTTCCTCTGTCTCCCCATCCCAAGGATGGCTCACATCGCCACTTCAGTAAAGTTCCCTGCAGTCACGGAGAGGGCCAGGATTGTGGGAAGCGGCCAGTCTAGCCAGGTGCTCTTCAAGAGTAGGGGGGTGGGGATGGAGGTGAGGGGCTCATGCCTATAATCCCAGCACTTAGGGAAGCCAGGAGTTGCAGACCAGCCTGGGCAACATAGACTCCATATGGCTGTGGTGGCGTCGATGGTCACAGCTACTCGAGAGGCTTAAGTTAGAGGATCGCTGGAGCCCAGGAGTTGGAGACTGCAGTGAGCAGTATTCACACCACTGCACTCCAGCCTGGGCGACAGAGGGAGGCCCTGTCTCAGAGAAAAACAAAAAACAAAAAAAAAAAACGGATGTGATGTGCAGGTGATCTTTTGTGTATGGAGATTATCCATATTACCAGAACCCTGCTCAGGACCTCCTGAAGACAGACATCAGTGTGTTTAGAGTCACGGAGAGGGGAGGGGACCCCATGACTACCCTCAGGTTGGACAAGTGGAAGAGTCCCTATCTGGGTGGCCTAGCTGGGCTTTGGCTGTGCCTGCAAGAGCCTCTAGGGAGGGTATCCTCTTCACTCCCCTTCCCTGTTGGTGACAGCACCTATATCCCCTTAGAAAGGGGAGCCGCCGGTCCTGCTGTGTCCCCGAGAGCAGCCAGGGGGAAGGTGGGGGGCCTCTTACTTCACTCAGCCTGATCCCACCATCTGGTGCTCCTTACTGTTTCCCTTCCGCCCCAGGGAGGCCCTGGCTAGCTTCCGAGGCTTCTCTAGGGGTGCATGGCTTTGCACCCTGTTCAGCTGCTGGGCTGTGCGGGTCGCTGGGGTCAGCAGGGGACGCATTACCGTCGGGGAATGTAGCGCGGAGGCCCTCATAGGTGAATCCGCTGCCGCAACCACATCCCTTTTCCAAAGGCGACGACGGGGGTGAGGTGGTCGGGACACTTCCCAGAGGCCTAAAGGGCAGCGCACGTTCTCTGTCCTCTGGGCCGCCCTTTACCCCTGCCAGCGCCCCAGTTGCCCGTGGCGCCCGGCCCCTGGTTGCGCAGACCCCTCTTCAGTCTGAAGCTGTCCGACACAGAGGATGTCTTCCCGCGCCGCGCGGGGCCACTCGAGGTCCCGGCAGACAGCCGCGTGTTCGTGCAGGTGGTTACCCCGTGGACACCAGGGGCGGATGGGGACGGTGGGGACGGGCGATCTCTGATGGCGCCTTCGTCCCCCAGGCGACATTGGCCCGTCCCTCCCCGCGCTGGGGCCTGGCCCTGCACCGCTGCTCGGTGACGCCGTCCTCACGCCCGGCCCCGGGGCCGGCCCTGGCGCTGCTTCGCGAGGGCTGCCCCGCCGACGCCTCAGTCGCCTTCCCGCCACCACCACCGCCGAGCCCGGGTTCCACCCGCCCTGTGCGCTTCAGCTTCCGCCTGCGCCCAGTCTTCAACGCCTCAGTGCAGTTCCTGCACTGCCAGCTGAGCCGCTGCCGCCGCCTCCGGAGAGTCCGCCGGACGCCTGCACCCCTGACTCCCCCGCCGCCATTGCGGGTGCGCAGGCGCAGAGCCTGGAATCTGGGCACCGGGGTCCCTCGGGAGCTAGGCACGAGCCACTCTGGTGGTGTAGAGAGGATACCCTCCGGCTCTGAGGATCTGGGGGTGGTGGTGGAGAGGTTGGGCATAGTGGCCCATCTCTGTCAACAGAGTTTCTCCGGGGACAGTGTGGGCACTGAGTTGCCTCATGGACAGCTCTGGGATCCTTCAGAGCTGGTGGCTGGATGCAGAAGGCCACTAAGGGGACACACTTCTGGGAACCTGGGGTTGGGTCTCACATGCTAGGTCCTGGGAGAGTCGGCCCATGTGATCTTGTGGGGCTGGGGTTTGGGGGCCTGAGGGGCTGGGTTGCTAGCCACTTGCATGCATAGCCACTGGGCTCAGGGACCCCTAAGCAGCCGGATTTCCAGGGGTTCCATCTTGGCTGTGGTGGAGAGCTGGACTCAGGTCTCTCTGGGAGGTACTAGGGACCAGAGCCAAGATCCCGGAGCCCTGATGTCCCCGGCTGTTCCCCACCTCCCTCTCTCCCAGTGTCTGCCTCAGGACGAGGCTTGCGCCGGCGGTGGCAGCGTCGAGAGCCTGGCTGCCTCTGGCCCCCACCTGCACACGCTGACGCAACCTATCGTGGTCACCGTGCCGCGGCCGCCCCTCAGTGAGCACTCAGTCCTCCTCCGCAGGGGACCGTGGGGAGGCAGTGGGGGGTGGGAAGGACACCTGGGTCCTGGACCCAATCTCAGCGTGGCACTTCCCACAGGGCCGCCCAAGATCATCCCTGGCCGCGCCGGGCGCCCTGAACCTCCCGCACCGGCCCCCGCGGCCCTGGAGCCCGCGCCGGTGGTGGCGCTTGTGTTGGCAGCCTTTGTGTTGGGCGCCGCGCTGGCCGCCGGGCTGGGCCTCGTCTGCGCGCACTCAGGTACAGACCTCTGCCATGCCCGCAGCCTATTCCCTTGCGTCGGGACAGGGGCGGCCGCGATCCCTCGTGCAGGGCCTGATGAGCCCTAGCTAGACCTGCCTCTGCGATGTCCGCAGCACCCTCCAGGGGTCGCCCTTAGCCTGGCCTGGCGCGCGGCAGCGCTTCTGCAGCCCGCCTCTCCCTTACAGCGCCCCCAGCCCCCGGCGCGCCCGCGAGAGCCTCGCCCAGCGGCCCCCATCCCAGGAGGCCCCAATGAGGAAGGTAGGTATGGAGGTGGGGGGAGCCGGGGAAGGGAGGAGATGACAGAGCCCTCCCCCCCTTTTTGAGACAGAGTCTTGGTCTTTTGCCAGGCGCCAGTTTGGAGTGCAGTGGTGCGATTTCGGCTCACTGCAACCTCTGCCTGCTGGATTCAAGCAATTCTCTTGCCTCAGCCTCCCGAATAGCTGGGATTACAGGCCAGCTAATTTTTGTATTTTTAGTAGAGACAGGGTTTCGCCATGTTGGCTAGGATGATCTCCATCTCTTGATCTCGTGATCCGCCCGCCTCGGCCTCCCAAAGTGCTGGGATTACAGGCGCGAGCCACCGCGCCCGGTCGCCCCCCTCTTTTTTTTTTTTTTTTCTTTTTCCCCGAGACTAAGTTTTGCTCTAGTTGCTCAGGCTAGAGTGCAGTGGCGCGATCTCGGCTTACTGCAACCTCCGCCTCCCGGGTTGAAGCTATTCTCCTGCCTCAGCCTCCCGAGTAGCTGGGATTACAGGCATGTGCCACCACCCCCGGCTTATTTTGTATTTTTAGTAGAGACGGGGTTTGGTGGTCTCCATGTTGGTCAGGCTGGTCTCGAACTCCGACCTCAGGTGATCCACTCGCCTTGGCCTCCCAAAGTGCTGGGATTACAGCCGTGAGCCACCGCACTGGCCCCCAAACACAGTTGTAAATGGTTTACACCTATGAACTAACTGAATTCCCTTAACAACCTCCAGGTGGACACTATTATAATCCCCATTTTAGAGAGGAGAAAAATGAGGCATTCTCTGAATTAAATACTTGTCAAAAGTCACAACACCGGGTGGAACTGGAATTCGAACTCAGGCAGTGGGTCACACCTAGCTGGCGCTGACTCTGGGTCGAGCCAAGGGCGTTAGGTGAGGAGAGGCATTAGGTGAGAAGAACTCAGCAATCGGACCCGGCTCCCACTCTCACCGGACATACAAACTGATGGAAGAGGCCAGTGGTCTGCTGGGAAGGGGGTGGCCCGCGTAGCGTCCCCTCCCTCGCTGAACCTCAGCCGCCCCTCCCAGGTATGATGCGCCCGCAACATGACCCGGTGATGCACCCAGCTACCGCTTCGAGACCAAGACCAACAGGACCGGACCCGCCTCCCTGGACCTCGGACCCGATGAGGCCACGACCCCTGCGCTTCTCTCCTCCCCCTGGCCCTCCCACCTGTGCTCAAAATAAACCTCTAGACTAAGTTCTGGTGTAGTCAGCGAGTGCGCAAGGTGCGGTGTGGGGAACGGGTGGGGAGGCTTGGGGAGAAAGCTGGGAGCAGGACTTGGGGGAATTCCTGAGAAATCCTGACAGCGGGGCGGAGCCTGTGGCGGGGAGCCATACGCCCATACACCCGTGTGCACTCAAGGGCCACGGGACTCTCAAGGGCGTTTTGTCTCAATCAGAAAGCGACACCCGGCCGGGCGCTGTGGCTCACACCTGTATCCCAGCACATTGGGAGGCCAAAGTGGCTGGATCACTTGAGGTCAGGACCAGCCTGGCCGAGATGGTGAAACCGCGTCCCTACTAAAAAAAAACACAAAAATTTAGCAGGGCGTGCCTGTAATCCCAGCTAATTCGGAGGCTGAGGCAGGATAATCACTTGAACCTGGGAGGCGGAGGTTGAAGTGAGCTGAGAAATCGCGCCATTGCACTCCAGCCTGGGCAACAAGAGCGAAACGCCGTCTCAAAAAAAGAAAGAAAGAAAGAAAAGCAAGAGACACCCAACCCCACAAGCCTAAATTTTAAAATATGCCCTCCCCATTCCCTCTTCTCCTTACCCGGACACCTGCCCATCGGCCTCCTGTGATCTTCTTCAAGCCAGGCCTTCTCCGCTCTCCACTAGCCCCGCCCGGACCCTGCCCTCGCTCGGCCTCGACCTTCTGCCTCTGCTCCAGGCTCCTGGTCTGGACTTTGCCCTCTTCTTAGACTGTCAGTCTAGTCTAGAGCTCCTTAAATCCCTCCTGCCCGAGCTTCACTCTCCTCTGCCTAGGCAAGAGTGGCACTGACTACCAGCCCTAGTTTACAGAGGAAGAAACTGAGGCTCGGCAAGGCTAAATCACTTGCCCAAAGTCCCCAGGCCTGTCTGATCCCAGAGCCCAGGCTCTTGACCACGACTTGACCTTTACTCTGCAAGAAGCAAAGCACACAGTAGCACTTCATGAGTTAGTCCAGCACCAGAGGGAGGCACGAGATCCAAGGTGGTGTCTCTACTTCATTAATGAGATAAGGTGCAGGCTGAGGGTTTCCTTCGCCCCTCCCCAGTTCCGGCGCCAATTTCCCCTTCACCTTCATTGGGGCGGGTCCCCGGGCCCTGCAAACGCGGAGCCACGCCCCCACGTGCGTCCGCCTCTGCGTGATGCGGCCTCGGCGGCCCCCGTAGCTCCGCCTACTAAGGAAGCAGCTTCAGAGCGCCTGCATTTTCGTGATCGGCATGAAGCCACCTCCCAGGAGGCGAGCGGCCCCGGCGCGCTATCTGGGCGAGGTGACCGGCCCCGCGACCTGGAGCGCTCGCGAGAAGCGGCAGCTATTGCGACTCTTGCAGGCGCGGCAAGGCCAGCCGGAGCCGGACGCCGCTGAGCTGGCCCGGGAGCTGCGAGGACGGAGCGAAGCTGAAGTGAGAGGCAGTTCTGGGGACCGGAGCGAGGCTGGAGGCGGGGCTAGGGTGGGGCGGGGAGTGGGAGAGGCTGCAGCAGGCGCCAGCGGGGCGGGGCCAGGAATGTAAGTGGTCGGGGGCGGGGCGTGGGGGGGCTGAGGTGGGGGGACGTCAGAGGGTGAGCTTGGGCGGGGCGTGGGCGGGAAGAGATCGAGGCCTAGGGGGCGGGGTATAAGTGGAGGGGCGGGGTAGTTCTGGGGGCGGGGCGTGCGTGCTGCTGAGGTTTGGACTGTAGGTGGGTGAGTTTGGGGGCGGAGCGAGAGCAAGCCTTAAGGTCGAGGCGAGCTTTAGAGTAAGATGTGGGCGGGGCATAAGCGAGGCAGAGGGGCGGGACAGTGCTGGGGCGGGGCGTGGGCGGGATGAGACCAAGACTTAAGGGCAGCGCCCGTTTGGGAGTAAGGCGTGGGCGGGGCGTGGGCGGGATGAGCGCCAGCCATAAAGGCAGGGCTAGCCCCAGAGTAAGGCGTGAGTGGGTCGACAGCGAAACTTAGGGGCGGAATGAACTTGGGGTAAGATGCAGCGGCTTACGTTGTTGGACCTGGTACAAGGTTGAAGTGAGAGTCGGCTAATGGGGCAGAGGGAACAAAGAAGGGAGTTGAGTCGAGTAGTAGTCCGCATAGGATTGAGTCCTGGCTGCCGGGAGGAGCCGGAACTGGCCTGGCTTACACCTTCCTTAGGAAGCTGGTCACACTCTGGGTGGGGCTGGGGCCTGGGCAGTCAGAGGGACCCCAACACTGGACTAGCAGGAGGTAAGATGCAGTGGCTGGGCCCAGAGCAGGCAAGGCAGTGGGCTTTCGCTTTTGTGCTGCAGCCCCGAGCTCACAAAAGCTTCATTCGCCCTCCTCTGCTGTCCTTCCTAGATCCGGGTCTTCCTCCAGCAGCTCAAGGGCCGTGTAGCCCGGGAGGCCATTCAGAAGCTCCATCCGGGTGGCCTTCTGGGACCAAGGCGCCAGGAGGCACAGCCCCCAGCTCCCATAGAGGTGAGGCAGATGAACAGGACAAGGCTGCCCAGGGCCAGCCCCCGCGGGGTAGGTGGGAGTTGCAGGGATAACCTGGTTAGGGTATCCCCAGGAGGGGCAGGGCTTGGGGAAATCCCTGCAGGCTGATCCCTGGGCTGACCTTGTACCTCTGGCTTCACTCAGGTCTGGACGGATCTGGCTGAGAAGATAACAGGGCCACTTGAGGAAGCCCTAGCAGTGGCTTTCTCACAGGTACAGCCATCCCCCAGGCAGTTCGGGGTGTCCCGGAGGACAGGGTCACATGAGCCAAATCATGTGAATCTGGGTCCAGGGCTCTTCCTGTTGCCAGCTCGGTGGCGTCCCTCAGTCACTGGACATCTGGAGCCCCAGTGTCCCTGGCTCTGAGGCCATCTCCTGTCTGAGCAGTGTGTCTTACGGTGGCAGGGAAGATAGGGGAATGTGGTGGGAGGACTTCCCAGCTCCCCTTCCTACCTGATTGTTCTGCCTGCCAGGTGCTCACCATCGCGGCCACGGAACCCATCACCCTCCTACACTCCAGGCCCCCCAAGTCCACGAAGGCCCATGGAAAGCCATTAATCCTGAGCGTCCCTGGAAGGCAGGAAGACGCTGCCCCTGAGACACCTAGCTCTGCCCCCAAGGCACCTAGCTCAGCCCCAGAGACTTCTGGCCCTGCCCCTGAGAAACCTTCTGAGTCCTTGGCTGGTCCTTCCACTGAAGACTTCACTGTGGACTTTGAGAAGATCTACAAGTACCTGTCCTCTTTCTCCCGCAGTGGCCGCGGGCCTGAGCTCTCAGCAGCTGGTGAGAAGGGTGACGGAGGGGGCAGGGGCAGAGGGATCAGGGTTCCTGGGGGCAGGCAAGGGTGTCCCCTTATCCCTGTCTCCATCCATCGCTAGAGTCCGCTGTGGTCCTCGACCTGCTCATGTCACTTCCGGAAGAGCTGCCTCTCCTGCCCTGTACAGCCCTGGTTGAGCATATGATGGAGACATACCTACGCCTGACAGCCCCCCAGCCCAGCCCCGCTGGAGGGAGCCTGGGGCCTGCGGCTGAGGGGGACGGGGCTGCCTCCAAGGCACCAGAGGAGACCCGCCCAGCCCCCGAGAAGGCAGAGGGCAGCAAACTGAAATCGCCCTGGCAAGCAGCTGGCATCTGCCCCCTGAACCCCTTCCTGGTGCCCCTGGAGCTTCTGGGTCGGGTGGCCACCCCTGCTAGGTGAGGGGCATGGTGGGCAGCAGGCACACCAGGCCCCCTGCTCTGGGCCTTGGTTCTGCTCAGCTGGCACTGGCTCGTTCTGAGGATCCCATCATGGGGGAAGGTGATGGCGCTCAGCTGTGGGGTGGACCTCAGATGCCCCATACTTTGGGGGTCTCCGAAGTGGAAACCCCATTGTACAAGGGTTTGGTGGGGGTTACGGGACTCCACTCACAAGCTGCCTGACCTCCAGGACAGGCAGACAAGGCTGTGCCTTGTTCTCTACAGGGGGCCATAGCTGGCAGTGCACACCATGAACCCCCGAGTACATGTCCCTCCTGCCTGTACCTCAGGACAAGCATCTGACCTCCTTAAGAAGCTGACCAGTCACAGATACTCCCTGCCAGCAGGTCCTTCCCCCTCCTGTGGGTGTTCTGTGACCGTGAATAAAGTTCTTACCAATCTGCTTCCTTCTCTTTTGCCTGTGACTTAAAGGTGGGCGTGGGGGCCTTGGGGTTACAAGGCTGGGGGTAGTACCAGGGAGGAGAGCTGCCATCCCGTCTGGTCTGATAAACCCTTTGGCAACTGTGGAGGTGACAAGTGGATGGGAAGAGGAGAGCCAGCAGTCTGCCTCGGGGACAGGTGTCAGGGATGGGTTTCAGAGTCGGGCAAAGTCACATCACATAGAGGGGAGAAGCCAGCAGAGTGGGGGTGTCCTGGTGAGAGGAGTAGAGCCCCAGGCTGAGGGGTTGGAAGAAGGTAGGGGTGGGCTGCCCCAAGTGGCAGGAGGCTGGAGGGAGGGAAGTGTGTCCCCTGGGGTGGCCTTGGGACCTCAAGGATCCCTGGAAGTGGAGAAGGAGAGGCACTGGAATTGGGGCTGACCCTAAATTCCTGGGGGTGCTGCTGGGCCCCCACCTGGGGCCCGTCCATCAGCTTCACCTGTCCTGTGGGTGTGGACTGAGAGTCAGGTCCGGGGGAGGGAAGCAGATGTCCTCCCACGGCACTGCGCCCAACGCCCAGCTAGTCGTCCAAGTGAGTAAATTCGCTGTTCGTGGAGCCTGTGCCTTCACCCAGCCTTCCTTTTATAGAAACACTCGTTCCCCCACACACACTGCACACGACTCCCCCAGGCTGCACATCTCCTGGGAGGGCCTTGGAGCCAACCCACTCCGTCCGTTGGTGGTCACTGCCCCACCGTGCCAGACCCACAAAAGCTGCCAATGGCGGTGGGCAGGGGGAGGAGGCTTAGGAGGCTTGGGCTGCAGGTGCGGTCCTAGCCTCCCTCCAGGGCTGGTGGAGGGTGTTCCTCCCGCCTCCCCGAAGGGTTGAGCATCTCTCACCACCCCCCAGAGGCTCCCCAGGTCAATAGAATTGT